GCACGAGCAGAAACGGTCTCATATCCCTTAAAGCTCTTTGGCACGAGTAAAAATGACCTCATATCTTTCAAGGCTCACTGACACGAGTTGAACGGCCTTATATCTTTAAGTTGTAATGCCGAGACTTTCTTGCGCTACATACTTTCGAGTGATATATGCTCTCAAGTGGTGTATAAGCAAGTCTCGAGGAGCATTTGTTGACACTGAAATTTTAATAAATATTGATTGTTTATTAGTATATTTGAATATATTTTGGATATATTGATATTAGCTAATTTGTTAATTAGATAATATCAAAAGAGTTTGAACTTATCAAAACTCTTTTATCCTTTTACCCCAAAAGGCTGAATCCCCAACCCTAAGGCCCCCGCACACTCCGACCCGACAGAGCATGTGGGAGGATGTAAATCATGATGACTCAATGGGTTAGTAGACAGGGCCAAATGTTGGTGCGCACAAGAAATGTGCCCACTTTGGACATAATTCACACACTGCCGTCGCCGATGTTCGAACCTTGGTCTCTTACCCCAAATACTGCCCACTAAACTCTTTTATCCTAAAGCTATAAATATGAGCTCTTATTTCTATGTAAACATCCTATGAAATAATCATGTAAACATCCTGAAAGCCCGCATGGGCAGCTCAACTGGTCATATAGGTGAAATTGGGAAAGAATTGAATGACCAGAAATCGAGTCTCGCGCAGTAAGCAATAGTCTAGCCTCTATGGTTCAGTTGAACAACCATCTATATATAATTCAGTTTTCTTTATTCAGAAAGGGCATTTACATTTTTATGTTAACTATTCCCTATTATTTAATTCTTTCTTACCAATCAAATAATAATTCATGGAATATAATATTTACATTTATTTTTTCCCAAAAAGTTTAAATTACATTTCTTTGTTGTATTTGGATATAGTTGTATCTACCATCTAAAAAAACAAGGTAAAAAGATGCAATAATATAATTTCAAACGAATATGTACTTAGCAACTTTTTGTTTCTTTAGAGAATAACACAATAATGCTAGAAGAGACTAGCTATAAGCAATTTGATTTTATTTATACGATGATGATGGCACGATTTATAGGTTTATCTTTACACGTATAGTACACACCAATAGTAGCAAAAATTTGTATGAGTCCGTCTCACGGATCCTTGTTTATGAGACGAATTGGGTTGTGTAGACAACAAGTTGTTACTTATATTATGATAAAAATCATAATATATATGTATTTATTACAGAAAATTTTAATACAAATTTGAATTGAAATAAATAAATTATTATTTGTAATAAATATTGTAATATTCATATGTATGTGAAAGTAGTGATGCTATTATTTAGAATTTCATTACTGATGTTAAATATGATAATACTTATAACTGAAATTGTGATACTTACAAAATGTAATTCTAATGTAAATATTGTATTACTTATACCAAAGAAATTATTGTAATACTTATTGCAGAAAATATTAGAACTCGATGGTCTAAAAACTTGCATTGCATGGAGAATCGTATTGGGCTTATATTTGGCGATATGATAATATGATATGACACAACTATTCTGAGACGATCGAGCCTGGTAAATCTAAAGTACAAATATGATGTTTCATATAAGGCAGGCATGCAAAATCTGGATAGGTATTAGCGCAGTCCCACTATATCACACAAACATCCACTTTCAAAGTGGTGAATGATGTATGGTGAATCAGATGAGGCCCCTGTGTCGTTGAATTCTTATTTCTTAATATATCATATCATATCGCGTCACATCTCATCTCATCTCATCTGCTTTTAAAAACGCCACTCCCAATATAATGCCTGCCTGTACCCTGGCATTACGCTTGGCCACTGCACCGTCGCGACCATCTCATCTCTCAGCTGCTAATGTGTACGATATACTCCCTCCGTCCCGAATTGGTTGTCTCATTTACTTTTTGCACGCTTTTTAAGGAATTAAAGTAAATGTTATGTATTTTCCAATTATGCCCTTCACTTTTTCACTTTTGGAAATAAAAGCAAAAGTCATAAGGGTAATTTGGGAAAAAGTAGAATGATGGTGATGTTCAATTTTGGAAAGTGGACAACATTTTGGGACAAACTAAAAAGGAAAGTAAGACAAACAAAATGGGACAGAGGGAGTATATATATGGATTGGCGTGGGATCCAAACCAGCCGATATGCATATATGATGAAACCCGGCCAGTACGTTTATTTGGGGACCAATTTCGGGAATCTCGTAATGGCAAATCAACCAGGCCCCGTCATATAAGTTGTTTTAAGATGAGTAATGCCAGCCCTGAAATGAGTTACGTTCTACAATTTACTTTTATGTCTGATTTATATGTTAGAACTTAGAACACGAAATAAACAGCTGAGACTCGAATTTGTAACCAACGCAAACATATACACTTATAGGTGATCAGTTGAAACTCAAACTTATAACATTGTGATTACTAAGTTAACATAGTCAACCAACTTAGTTGAGGTTGTCCATTATTAAGTCCCTTTGATCCCTAAATAGATTGATGCAAAATTAGGGATATATACTCCCTAGTCCCTACCTCAAAACTCCGCCCATTCCAGTCAAGGGAAACAACTCTTTATTATTCTTCAATTCATACAAAACTTATTAGTGTACTAATTTTTTCTGTCATGCGCAAAAATATATGCCAATATTTATATTTTAAAAAATAATTAACAAATTTTTATTAATTAAAATCTAAGTGAAATAAAATTTTTTTATTATATATTAGTTCAATATGTAATGTCTACAAAAATTGTTATTATTAAAGATTATAAGAAAAGAAATGGTAGATGCATGTGCATGGTAAAAATAATAGAAAAAATAACAGAAGTTATAATGGTATTTTTGTCTAAAAAATAGTATAGTACAACTCTAAAAGCACAATGAACAAAATGATTAGCACTAAAAATATAAACATAAATGAAGGATATAATTTACTTGAGACTTATTATGTTTTTAGTAAATATAAATATTTATTTATCTATATAAAAGAAAATCAGGGACATGGTAAGATTGAGTATGGAGGGGTACCCTATTCCTAAAATTTTGGTCCGTGTCCACATCCCTTTAGGGTGGGGACTTAGGGATTTCTTTTGAAGTCAAGTGAAATTGTCATTCCTAATTAGATTTAATATGATATTGTAATAGAGTCTGTAGCACTCAAAAAGGAAAAAAAAAAAAAACAAAACAAAACAAAAAAACAAAAAAAAAAAACTAGATTCAATTCAATATGATCTTTGGAATTTCTAGTTTTTATTTATTTTTTTATTTTTATGTATTAACAAGTTTAGTAAACTCAACATGCCAATGAATCAACCACCCAAATAGATGTAATGCCACAATGAGTGTATGAGTGGGGAGATCGAGTATACGATTGGTTAGTTTAACTGCCTGTATTATCTTCTCACAACATCTAACTAAAACCATATCATTTGCTTTGCATTTCAAATAGAGAAGTTATTATCCTCCCTCAAATGTTAGAGAGTTTAATTCGACTCTTTATCTCTCACAAATAAGGAATACTATACTACCATTATTAAATTATTAATATACATTACAAAGGGGTTGACCTTTGGTTTATATATTAGGAGTCTAATACACAATTATGACCTAAGTATAATCATGACCTGAGAGTTAATTTCACATTACCTCACTTAATTGATAAGTGTATGATCTCAAGGTGTGACTTGTCCATACATGTTGTTAGACGAACATAGTTAATTTTCACCTTAGTTATGGGTTTAGTGACTTGTATAGTCTCTACCTGCTCACTAGTTGAATTGTTGGGACTTATTACGCTAGTCATTAACACATATTCATTCTACTATGTACATTGTTTTATTTTATATCATAAAACTCTAAATTAATTAAATAACATCATATTTTTTTAATAAATAAAAAAACAATTTAATCATGATGTTATAATCTACTAGATTTTTCATGCCATGTATATTCTAAAAAAGTAATCTCCACTAGTTGATAATGAAGAAAGATTGTTATATATGTGCCATCTATTGTGTGCAATTCATCAGACAAGTTCAACATAATCCCACAATGATAGAGTTTACATATTGACAAAGTTGTAGACTCTAAGGTTGCATTTATTTCAAAATTTTCAATTTCTCATTTTTGCTTTCTTACTTTATTGGAGAAATGAACAAATAAACTATTTTTTTTCATTTAATCCAATTTATCAATTCCCCATGATTCTTTCTTTATTTTCAAATTAGAAAAATGTACAAGTAAACACATTATATATATATTTTGCTTTCTCCACTTTATTTTTAAATTTTTTTTTTTAGAAAAAATGAATTTTTTCTCCTGTTAATAAATGCACTCTAAATTTTCCTAAATACTAAGATATTTGTTTTGACTAAAATACACGTACTATAAATAAAATATTTACAAGATAAAATATGCGAAACAAGAAATATTAAAATAAAACAATAAAACACGCAACTAATTATGTGGATCCGGGTTCAAATGTTCATAATTTATAAAAATTCATAAATTGTATACTATGAACACACAATGTTAATATATATGTAGTTGATTACTTTGTTTTGTATTCACAAGTTCCTCCCAAATACTGTAGTCACACAATAACATATTAGGATTTGATAACTCTGTATTGTATTTTCACAAATTTCTTGTATTTTAACTTAGAAACATAATTTATATTTTAGAAGTTTATCATTTTAGTACTAAAAATACACAATTTATACGTCATTTAAGACCAGGGTCCACCTTGTTCTATGGTATAACAACTCAGGTTTGGGTATTTTAAGGCCCAAAGTATTGGTCTGGAAGAAAGGAATCCAGTAGGTTCAGATGGGCCTGACCCAATTATATTCTCATAAGCAAACCGGAGGCTTCTTCAACACGAAGCAAGGAATATCTTTAAACCGGCACCGGTTTACAAACCATTTAAATAAACCCAGCTTTTTTTTTTTGAAAGTAAATAAACCCAGCTTACTTTAACTTTTTAAACCACTATCGGAAAACCGGTTGCCAACACTTCTAGAAGCACACTGAAATGGCGATGGCGACACGGCAGAGACGGCCGCCGATGCCGTCGGATCAGTCGGAGTCCAAGCCGTATTCGAAGCTGAACAAGCCAGAGAAACCGGACGGGAAGGATAAGGGAGAGGACAGGGGGATTGGGTGGTTTGTGCCGTTGGTATGCCTAGGGATGCTGAGGTACATGAGCGCTACAACCAACATAATACACGACTGCGACGAGACTTTCAATTACTGGGAGCCTCTTCACTATCTACTCTACAAGTCTGGCTTCCAGACTTGGGAATACAGGTTAATCTCTCTCTCTCTCTCTATCGTTTGTGTTTTTTTTTTTTTTAATTAAATTTCTTAATGACATGTTTAACAATTTTGTGGTAGTTAATGCTTGCATTTTTTTATTGTGTTCGGCAAAATTTTCGAAAAACGCAACAAATTAGTTTGCGATATTTGGTATATTGTTAAGTATTGCTCTCATGATTCTGAAATGGCATTGAAGTTGGATAGCTCTTTTTTTAAATTTTAATGAATAAGCATATATAACTATGGCGTTTCTCTTGATCACTACCGTGTTGCCATCCTGGTTAGATGTGCTTCTGAATTCTGACCAACTGCTGAAGCTGGAGATGGACAGTTCTCTAATTGAGTATCACATTTATGATCTTAATCTATTAAATTTGTCTTACTACATAACTGCATTGTAATCTTCCTTTGTTCATTGTATTTTTTCCTTAAAAAAGTTTAAAAGATTTGCTGTTCGTGCTGGTTGTGAAAAATTTCTGCATTTCTGCTCTTGCACTGGATGCTGCTGAATTATTTATTATACATGTAACTTTGTCACTGAGCTACTGTAATTTTTCTATCCAATGCCATTAATATTACATTAGCTGTTATGATTAGCAGGAAGTTATATACATTTTCTGATGTTCTAGTCATCATAACTTATATGGTAACATAGATGGTACTTTGTTTTATTAGTTTTGCATGTTTTTTGCAGTTCACAGTTTGCTCTGAGGTCGTATTTGTATATTATTTTTCACAACATAGTCGGTTTACCTGCATCCTGGTGGTTTGGTGAAGAAAAAGTGAGTTACTGTTTTTTTTTTTTTTTTTTTTTTTTACTCAGAGATTTTATATTATGTTGTCTTATGATTTCCTTTACTTTCTCAGGTAAGAGTATTTTATTCAATAAGAATTTTTCTTGGCCTTCTATCTGTCATCACCGAGTCTGCTCTTGTGGTCGCCCTTTCCTTGAAGTATGGAAAACGCCTGGCTTCATATACATTAGCCATGCTATGCCTAACCAGTGGCTGCTTCTTTGCAAGCACAAGTATGCATTTATTACCTTTCTACAAGTTGTCATCTATATACTTTAATCTCTCATACACCCTATCCATTTTTCTGATTGCACTAGTTTTTGTTGTTTGCCCCTATGCACAGGTTTCCTTCCTAGTTCGTTCTCTATGTATGGCATGTCTCTTTCATCAGCATTATTTCTTTTTGAGAAGCCTGCTATGGCTGTAGCTGTTGCAGCAACTGGAGTTATTCTTGGTTGGCCCTTTTCAGTATTAGCATTTCTTCCAATCACAATATACTCATTGATTAGAAGGTTCCGACCAGTATTCCTCACAGGGGCTGTCACTTCTATCGTTGTTATGGTAAGTTCTTCAGTATGTTCACTTTAGTTGGAGGCTAAGTTTGTCTGCCTTTTGTTCTTTTAATATTTAATGCATTTATGCATGTGAATCCTATGTCCATACATTTTCACTGTCTAGTGGCTTGAATTGTATTTGCTTCTGAAAGACGTTGTAGACTTGCAGTACAGTGCATAGTAACTCTTTTTAAAATTCTTTCAGGCACTCTCAATACTTGTTGACCATTTTTACTACAAAAAGTGGACGTCATCTGTTGTGAATTTATTGTGGTACAATGTCCTAGGAGGCGGTGAAAGTCACCTCTATGGCACTGAAGGGCCATTATTTTATCTGAGAAATGGTTTCAATAATTTCAACTTCTGCTTTGTACTCGCTCTGCTATTCGTTGGCATATTACCCTTTGCTAAAAAGAAGTATGCCCCTGATTTGTTGGTTGTCATTTCACCTGTATATATCTGGCTTGCTTTTATGTCATTACAGCCACACAAAGAAGAAAGGTTAGTTTATTTCAATTCATAAATCTTCCTTGTATTTTATGTTTTTGTTTATAGTTCTACGAGGTTTACTCACACCTCTTGTTTTCCTCAATGAAGAATTTCCTGTGTTTATGTTGCTCTATAAGTTTAATACTTTTCCCTTGGTGCCTTGCAAATTTTTGTGAAGGTTAGTAATATTTAACTGTACAGGTGGAATACTTGCAATCAATCTGTGAAATGCTGAGTTCCTGGCCTTCCAAACCTGAGTGAAAACCTATGGATTTTAAGATTCTTGCTTCTACACCCTAACCTTGAAGAAGAAGAAAAAAATTACCTTGCCAAAAAGCCTCAGTACCTCACATATCATGGCAAATTACGGATCCCAGTGCACAATGCTTTGTTTCCTCTAGAACAAATGTGTCCAATAATTATCTCCAAATCAATTCAACTATCACTGTTTTTAAAGGAACTATCTGCCAGTGAAAGTTCATTGTCTTTGTAATAAGTGTTCATCACTAAAACAAAATTATGGAACCATATATGTTTAGTGTACAAGGGTCCATAGTATCAATTGGTGATTCACCAACATTAACCATAAGTCCATAACCCTGTTTCTTCCTTTTTGCCTTATATTAGCAATTAAAAACCTTCTCTTGACCCTCCTTTGATACTTTTCTTTTAGTAGGCTTGTGCATCTAGCAATTTGAGGTCACCTGTTGACTTTGTGTTAAAAGCTGTTAAGCATTTAAAAAAAAGCTGCATCAAGTAAATGAACAATTATGTTTATATTGCGATTAAATCTAGAAAAACTACAGTGTGACTATCTCTGCTTTGATTGTCCAACCTTTGTTCCACAAGGTTTTATTTTGCATTTCAAAAATTCTTTATATAGGAGTCTTATAGAAATGCCATATTTGTTAAAACCATCATGATTCAAGCCTCATCACGAGGTACCTTGGTTATATCAATTGATGTTGACAAAAATTATAGGAGCAATGAAATGTTACTGAAATCTTAAACTTGCAAAGTGATTTACAAGGAAAACTTGTTTGTTGCTGACCCATCATGATTTCATGCCCTCATCATGAGGTACCTTGGTTATACCAATTGATGCTGACAAAAATTATAGGAGCAATGAAGTCGTGTTATTAAAATCTTAAACTTGCAAAGTGAATTAAGCAGAAAACTTGTTTGTTGCTGGCTTTTGCAGGTTCGTATATCCAGTTTATCCACTTATTTGTGTTGCTGCTTCAGCTGTGATTGAGAGCTTTCCTGACATATTCCATGATAAGTATAATCCTAATGACCCAAATGTGCTTGTTATGGTAATCTTCTTTGTTCCTATAGAGTGTAGGCATATGTTGCTTGCTCAATCAGTGATGGAGATTATAATGTTAGCTTTGCTTATGACAGATAGCAAAATTTCTTAGACCTGTGGCTCTTGGCTTTATTTTATGTGCCTCCCACGCTAGGACATTCTCTCTGATTAATGGTTATTCTGCTCCGTTAGAGATTTACAAACATTTGAGTTATCATGATGATGTTGGAACAGGTGAGATCCTGAGAACTTGCATTCTAATTGTATGTGAAGTTAAATATATCATGAGCATATAAAATAAAAAAATTTAAAAAAAAAAAAAACAGCTTATAATTACGTAATATTTAGCTGTTTTTTATTTTTTCAATTTGCAAACTTGAAGTTTCGGGATAGGATTCAATCTCCTTTATTATTTTCCCTAAATCTTACCCTTACCCCTTGTAATTCAGGCGCTACCCTCTGTGTTGGGAGTGAGTGGCATCGTTTCCCATCATCCTTCTTGGTTCCTAGTTATGTGGATAATGTTCGATGGTTGGATGATGGATTCAGGGGTCTCCTGCCATTCCCGTTTAATTCTAGTTTGGGCGGGACTTCAGCAGCACCATCTTATTTCAACAATAAGAACAAGGCATCAGACAAGCAATATGTAATCAGGCTTTCCCTATTGCACACTTCATCCAGCACTGTTATCTTTTCATTTTCTGATGTTATTTCTTTAAGTTACATGCTTCTCGTGGTAATGCATTCATGACAATCGGAACTGACCTTTTCTTTATGGGCAATAACATGACAGCTCGCCAATCCAGAAGAGTGTACTTTCCTCGTAGAGCTACAGTTAAAACGGCCTTTTATGACTCGAGGAAGTGATCATTCAAAATGGGAGGTATTAACCTGACCTCATCACATCCTAATTCCTACTCATTCTTTCCCTTCACACTGCCCTATCTATCTATCTATCTATCTTTCTTCACGAGATATTTGCCTTTCAGGTTGTAGCGGCATTACCTTATTTGGATAGGGAACTGTCGCCTCCCTTAGACCGGTCATTCTTCATTCCATATCGTTGGCAGCAGCTGAACGTCTTTGGCCTATACAAGTTACTCAGAAGAACAGAAAATGAAAGTAGATGAACACGCAGGACCATTTTGACAGAGACTGAGGCAAGCTAATCGTCAGTGACCATATTTTGCTTATCTTTACCTAATTCAGCTGATTTTGTATTGCAAAGTTATTAGGTGCATCTTTTGTTGTGTTATTGCTGATTAAGTTTTGAATTGTGATCAACAGATATTTATGTATCAATGGATTACCCCCCAAAAAAAATCTCATTTGTAGGAGAAAAAATTCTCAAAAAAATTTCACCCCCAACTGTTAAAAATCCACCTCTTTGTTTTTATGTCAGAAAGAAACTCTTCCAAAATTCATTCTTAGAGATTCTCTTAGGTATTAACACATTACCTGCCTAAACTGGCAAATAAAACTCAGAACTTAGTCTCCATCTGCTAAATTTCAACTAGTTGTTTAATCAAGTACTAAGACTATCTTTATCCATGCAATTCTCTTTTAAAGCTCCAATTAGACCCTTCATCTTTTTACTTTTATACAATTAAGTAATGGTAATTTTTTTTTTAAATTTTAAAAATAATTAAAATAAAAAAATATATTTTTAATTCAAATAATTTAATAAATTATAAAATAAAAAAAATAAAAAAGCCACCACTTGGCTTCTCCGCCTAATTGGTCCAACCGGACGAAGAAGCTGGTCTGGCTTCTCCATCTAGTTGGACGGAGAAGAAGACCACCTAGTTAGTTTTTTTTTTTTTAAATAAAATATTTTGTTAAAAAAATCAATTTTACTTGTTATTACCTTACCTGCAAATTGAGTTAATTGCACAATTTTAAGAAGTTATGGTGAAGAATTTTAAGAAGTTATGGACTTAATTGCATACAAGTAAAGAGATGAAGGGTCTAATTGACACACCTGTACACTTTGACTTATAGTTGAAGGGTCTATTTGACCCTTATTCCTTAATACTATTTATCTTTGAAGAGATTGTAGATAAGATTTTTTCTCCAATTTTTTTTTTTATTATTGTGTTCGAAACTATCGGGGTCTCATATTGTTGAGGTTTACAAATTGAGCTTGGCATTTTTGTTTCCAAAATTATAATAATAAGTTAATTTCAAAAACTAGGGGTGAAGACCGTGAAGTCAACAAAATTATTCAAGGGCTGAAGTTATAATATAATGAGGAATATAATTACATTTAAAATTTATCAATTATTTTATTAGCGATGAATAAAAAATTTACATACATCTATTTGAATAGAGTTAATGACGATGACATTAACTCATTAAGTCATTTAAATATACGTGACAAAATCACTATATTTGGATGACTCCAAAGAGTATTAAGTTATTAACTCATTTAAATATTTTTTATTATATTTTGTCTATTAAAAAATGGAAGTGTTTGCAATTCTAAGCTAGGTACTATTTATAGGTTGTGAAATGACTTTTTTTTCTCCCTTTGCATAGTGATATTTAATTTGCATTTACAGAATAAGACTAAATTCCACATATCGAGCCTAATCCTATCTTTTTCGTTTAAAATTAGCCATGATCTACTTATGTCAATAAAATATTCCAAATGCTCTGTCGGGCCGGGGTGTGGGGGGCCCTTAAGATTGGGGTTTAGCCTTTTGGAATAATAATGATTAAAATCTCAAAGTTAACAAAATTTTCTTTCCGAAACTTTGATTAAACAAGAAAAAAAATACACAGTACAACTCATTTAGACCATCGGATTGATTACATTAGGTTAGTGTATGTTATTAGAACTAGTATTAAGACTATGTATTTGAGTCACGTTATGACTCTCTGTCCTAGTCTTCTTATGATTGCTCATGTATATATTTCCTTAGATATTATGACTCCTTATCCTAATCTCCTTATAATTGCTTTTGTATATATTCCCTTAATCTATATAATTGTGAAACATTACATTCAATACAATTCTTATAATTATCATCTAGTATCAGTTAACTAGAATTTTTTCCCCACTACCAAATCTAGAATGATGTCTACGTGAATTTGCATGGTGACGGGTGAATAGCCTCCAGCAACGTGAACATCATCCACAATAAAATAAGCTTCTTTTCAAATTCCAAAGCTAATCAGAAGGTTCTGCTCCATTCTACATGAAAGTCTGTGAGCTGGCCTTCAAGATCACAATAATTATTTTTTATATTCAATATTAAATTTGCAATTCAATTTCAAAATTGAACCCGTGTCTTGAAAATCCTCGGCATAATTGAACGTAAAGATGCTCAATCGTGGGGGTTGGCAGTGTCGCGGTTGTCAAAACAAAGGTCGTAGCAGTGGTATTAATGTTCAATGCCAAATTTGTAATGGTTTCAGTTACACAGGATTCAATTATTTTAGACGTTATGATGATCAGTGTCAAATTTGTAAAGGTTTCGATTACACGAGAATCAATTGGGTTCGACACTGTGATGATCAGTGTCAAATTTGTAAAGGTTTCGATCACACGGGAGCCAATTGTGTTCGGCGCTATGATGATCAATGTCAAATTTGTAAACGTTTCGTTCACACGGGAGCCAATTGTGTTCGACGCTATGATGATCAGTGTCAAATTTGTAAAGGTTTCGGTCACGTGGGAGCCAATTGTGTTCGGTACTATGATGATCAGTGTCAAATTTGTAAAGGTTTCGATTACACGGGAATCAATTGGGTTCGACGCTGTGATGATCAGTGTCAAATTTGTAAAGGTTTTGATCACACGAGAGCCAATTGTGTTCGGCGCTTTGATGATCAGTGTCAAATTTGTAAAGGTTTCGTTCACACGGGAGCCAATTGTGTTCGGCGCTATGATGATCAATGTCAAATTTGTAAAGGTTTCGGTCACGCGGGAGCCAATTGTGTTCGGCACTATGATTATCAGTGTCAAATTTGTAAAGGTTTCGGTCACACGGGAGCGAGCCAATTGTTTTCGGCGCTGTGATGATCAGGGTCAAATTTGTAAAGGTTTCCGTCACACAGGAGCCAATTGTGTTCGGCGCTATGATGATCAGTGTCAAATTTGTAAAGGTTTCGGTCACACAAGAGCCAATTGTTTTCGGCGCTATGATGATCAGTGTCAAATTTGTAAAGGTTTCGGTCACAGGAGAGCCAATTGTGTTCGACGCTATGATGATCAATGTCAAATTTGCAAAGGTTTCCGTCACACAGGAGCCAATTGTGTTCCGCGCTATGATGATCAGTGTCAAATTTGTAAAGGTTTCGGTAACATAGGAATAAATTGTGTTCAGCACTATGATGATCAGTGTCAAATTTGTAAAGGTTTCGATCACATAGGAGCCAAGTGTTTTCGACGCTATGATGTTTAATGTCAAATTTGTAACGGTTTCGGTTACACAAGAATCAATTATTTTTTGCGCTATGATGATCAGTATCAAATTTGTAAAAATTTCAGTTACACGAGAATTAATTGTGTTCGACGCTATGGTGATCAATATCAAATTTGTAATGGTAGTCGGTGACACACTATAGTGTATATATAACAGTATAATTCTCATCTATGTAACTTAGCCTACCTTAAAACGTGTTATAGACTTATAGTGCGTCACCGACTACCACCAATACGCGAAAATGGTACCGTGTTTCTCGGAAACTTCGTAGTCAACCAATAGTCAATGGTTAAATGTTTAGTTAACGTTGTCTCCAAGACTTTTAAATACATGCACCATTTCTTCTATCTCTGCACCTTCACTAAAACCTCAGTTCAATCTCCAATGGCGGATCTCCACGAAACGTCAAACATGAAGACCGTCGTCACCACCGTCGCCTCTCTCGCCGCCACCGCAATGCTCGTCCGCAGCGTCGCTGGGGACTTGCTGCCGGAGGAGTTTCGCCACTTCTTCTCCCACAGCCTCCGCCGCATCAAACGCCGCTTCTCAACGGAATTCACCATTGTAATCGACGAGTTCCGAGGCAATTTTATAAACCAAGTGTTCCACGCCGCCGGGATCTACCTGGGCAGCCTCGAACTCGACCATTCTGTAACCAAACGAGTCAGATTGGGGAAGACGCAGAACGACAAAAGCCTGATCATAACCATGGACAACAACGAAGAAATAGTAGATTCCTACGAAAACATCCAGCTAAAATGGAGATTCCTATGCATAAAGCAAGATTCTAATTCTTCATCTCTGAGATCTGAGGTGTGGTTATGATTTTATTGTAACTGGTTTCCTCTTAATATGCTCTATACTCTATTTATTGGTTGTTCTCTGATAGGTGCGCATGTACGAGCTGAGTTTTCACAAGAAGCACAAGGCCAGAGTGGTGAAATCGTACCTGCCATACATACTGGAAAGATCAAACGCCATTAAAGCCAAGCTCAAGGAAACGAGGTTCCATTCGAATCTCAGAGGAGGGTTTCATCCAAACATGAGAGGATGGAACTCGGGCTCTATCATTCAACATCCAATGACATTCAACACTTTGGCTATGGATGAAAGAGTGAAAAGTGGTTTGATTGAGGATTTGGATGATTTTGTGAAGGGGAAGGAGTATTATAGGAGAATGGGGAGGGCGTGGAAACGTGGGTACCTTCTTTATGGACCTCCTGGAACAGGCAAATCAAGCTTGATTGCAGCCATGTCTAACTATCTCAACTATGACATATATGATCTTGATCTTTCAGAAGTGAATTCCAACTCGGATTTGAGGCCCTTGTTGTTTGGCATGGGTAGCCGTTCAATCCTTGTGATAGAGGATATTGACTGCACCATCAAGCTGGAGAACAGGAACACTGGGGAAGACAAAGAAAATCGCCATAACAAGGTATCTACTATATATACAAAAATCATTCTTCTTGGGTAACCCATCTAAGTTGGTCTGATAACAAGGTCAGGTTACAAGTTCGACTCTGGAGCAACCTATTGGCCTTCTTAATTTGAACCGTTACAAGTTTGACTCATCTTATTAATCTTTTTAGTTTGAGTGGGTCAAGTGTAAGACAATTTAGGCTGGTTAACCTCTCGTGTGTCACAAGGTAAGGTTTACCCACCAAGATGGTCGGTCAAGTTCCTGTGAGGACAGAGCTTCCGTGCAGTCACTTATCATTAGGTACACATTGGTGCATTTCTGAACACTCTGTGGCGCATTTCTGCATACCTAATGCAGAATCAGCACTGACAACACAGGAAACACTGTCCGCATTTGAACCAGTATCTATAAACTGTTGACTAGGTCAACTATGGCCAACCTAGGCTGGTATACATATTGGTCTGCTTGGTTTGAACCTAGTTTTTTTACCTCCTTATTCTTTGCTACCTAGGGTCATAAGGCGAGATTTATTTGTACATACTCTCGAGTAGTGGTTGTGAGTTTCTCTCGTCGTCCAAAAAGAATCATTCTTTTTCTTCAACTTATACTAAAACTTCCTTAGTGGCTTAATTCTAATGTTGTTGGATTTTCATGGTTTTTGTAGGTGACATTGTCGGGGTTGCTTAACTTTCTTGATGGGATTTGGTCGTGTTGTGGGGAGGAAAGGATAATTGTGGTCACAACTAACCACATTGACAGATTGGATCCTGCTTTGCTAAGGCCAGGAAGAATGGATATGCATATCCATTTGTCATACTGCAAATTTTCTGCATTCAAGCAATTGGCAGTGAACTATTTGGGGATATATGATCATCAACTTTTCCCAGAAATTGAAGGGCTTTTGGAGGAAGTAGAGGTCACTCCAGCTGAAGTTGCAGGGGAACTGATGATAAAGAGCAAGGACACTTACCTTTCCCTTCAAGGCCTTATTCAATTCCTTCACAACAAAAAAAATGGGAAAGGGATAAAGGCATAAAGCTGAACTAAAGAGAGATATTCCCTTCTAAAACGGGTTAGAATTTAAAATTAAGTCAAGACTACACATGAAAAGAAATGTAAGACACATACTTTATATGTGCTTGTTAATTAATTGTATTAGGATCAGCCCACGAACATTAACTTAAAAACACATGCGTATGTGTTGTTCTTGAATCTTGAGGAATAAATATTTCTTAATTTGTATGCGTTACTATTATACAACCATTCCAATTTTATTGATTCGATAGTGAGATTAAAAAAAAAAAACACTTAGTTGACTCTAGTTTCGCAAGATTAATCTAAGTTCACAGGACCCCACCCTTAGAGCCAAGTCACTGTAGAGGTAAATTGCGCAAGCAATCAGTCTACCGGTCCCATCATAGTCTTTCATAGAAAGAATCTAATCTAAACCTTTCAGCATCCTTGATTTTTTTTTTCATACATGCTTCTAGTGGAATTCAAACTCCTACACTACAATCTCTCGTCATGACATTTAAGTTAAATGACAAATTAACTACACTAAACTCGGGGCAAATATTTGTTTCTTTGGATAAGTGTGCTAGTTAGTTAACTAGTTGCCACTTGCCCGCAAGTAAATTCGGTGAAAATTTCCCAATGTATTACGGAGTATTTTAAATTTGTTCCAACATGGGTTGTACTTCTTGCATTATCTTGACTGCTGACTTGATGCTTTTCTAGACCTCTACTCCCTTAGAAAATTCTATGCAGTTAACAACTTCCATAAGCAATAGGAATTCAAATCTTGCCCTTGCCCTTGCCCTTGCCCAGTTTCCCACAAAAACGAAATTTCATTACCCTCATGACTCTTACATTCTGGCTCGACAGACTAAGAAAAATTCTTCTCTTTTTTATGATTAAGAAAACCTACTATCACTATCTAAGGGTGTGTATTGAATAAATCCTGTTAGAATTAAACTTGTGAGTTTTTAGTATGAAAATCATGTTTCACTTACTCACTCAATCACCCCTTTCAAGGCAGAAGAACTAATTCTGATTTTTATTGCACTTCAATATATCGTATTATATAGAGTTAATACCCAATTTGGTCCTTTGACTATTAGGATTTCACCAATTTAGTCCTTGATTATCAAAACTGTTCAATTTAGTCCTTAACTATGCAATTTTTATCTAAAATGGTCCCTCGACTATTAAGATTTCACTACTTTGGTCTTCGACTACTAAAGTTGTTCAATTTAGTCCCTAACTATGCACTTTTTACCTAGAATGGTCTCTCAACTATTAGGATTTCACCACTTTGGTCATTGACTATCAAAGTTGTTCAATTTAGTCCCCAACTATGTAAATGTTAACATAAAATGTAAGTTTAGTGTGGATTTGGGGACCTTTTTGGAGAGTTGAGGACTAAAGTGGTGAAATCCTAATAGTTGAGAGACTATTTTAGGTAAAAATTGCATAGTTAAGGATTAAATTGATCAACTTTGATAGTCGATGACCAAAGTGGTGAAATCCTAATAGTTGAGAGACTATTTTAGGTAAAAATTGCATAGTTAAGGATTAAATTGATCAACTTTGATAGTCGATGACCAAAGTGGTGAAATCTTAATAGTCGAGGGACCATTTTAAGTAAAAATTGCATAGTTAGGGACTAAATTGAACAACTTTAATAGTTGAGGATCAAATTGGTGAAATCTTAATAGTCGAGGGACCAAATTAAGTGTTAACTCTATTATATATATTCTTAAGGTTTGTTTTCTTTTCACATTCAAATTGTTTGTATATTGTGTTTTAATAATAATTACACATAATTTTATTTCTCTTTTAACATATGCATGTCATTGTCATATTAATACTTCATTTAATCATTATTAATCTTTTGTTTTATTTCAGTTAAGTCTTTGTACTATCTGCAGGTTGTCATTGATTCTAACTCACATGATAATGAAATGATTGAAATCTAATACTATAAGAAATATGAATTTTATTTTTAGTTTATGTATGTCTCTATCATATTATAGACATCAAAATCAAATGATCATACATACACTCGCATTCGCTTGGCAAACAAGTTTATTTCCGTTCACTTTAGTTTCCATCTACATGGTAGTCCACATCATTTAATAAAAACAAATGAATGATTAAAATGGTCTTTCAATTATAACGACTTCACTACTTTTAGTCACCGACTTATAATTTTGTCCAATAATGTCTTTAACTATTAAAATTTGTACCTATTTTATTTTGTCCAATAATGTCTTTAACTATTAAAATTTGTACCTTTTTTTTTTTTTGAAGGATTAAAATTTGTACCTATTTTACTTCTTCAAGTAATTAAAATAGGTAAAAATTTAGACAAAATAACACTTCTAAAGTACTAACTCTAAATAGATACAAATTTGATAATTAAAGACATTATTAGACGAAATTCAAAGTCTAACTAGAATAGTAATATCACTATATTCAATAAATTATTTCGATAATTAACTCAAAAAAAAAAAAAAAAAAAAAAAAAAAAAAAAAAAAAAAAAAAAGACATATTTAGTCATTGAGTTATATATCCTATCGTATGTATGACACAATTCTTCAGTTATTGATGTGTTTATTTTGGTCTCTTAATTATTTTCGAAATGACAATTTTAAGCATATTTGTAAGAGTTTAGACTAAAAATATAGATATAAAGAGACATGTTTCCTTACTCTATTGACTAATAAGGTCTTTGGGCATGGCATTCCCACTTTCCCATGATACATAATTGACTATGTTAACCTTATTTGAACTTTCAAATGGCAAATAACAACTTGCCCTCTTCCACACCACGTTGTAAAGTATCCAACTACTACAAGTATCCTCAAATTGAATCGCGTCATCAAACCATACCATACTTGACATTTCAATCATTTTGTATTAAGAAAAATTGTAATTTATACTCCTCTTAAATATGTCAATTATAAATGTCACTTTTAAATTATTAATGATGTAAATATTGTTCATCAATTTAGGTCATCTACCAGAATACTATCGTGGAAAGGAAGGTAAAAGTCAGAACACTACAGTGGAAAGGAAGGTAAAAGCTCAACTCCTTATATTCAAGCATAAAATAGACTTCCTAATTAACAAATGAGCAACCTGATTCGTTGAGCGTTTAACAAAAGAGATATTAATATTAGCAAACATGCTCATCATATCTTACAATAATACTAAACATTTACACTTGCGATGCAATATGATCTTCAAAGAAAGGATTTAACAATTTTATTTTTTTGTTGACGACAAATATTCTCTACCAATACACACTAAGACCTCAACTCTAAAACTTTTAGTTAAGTTAGAAAAAACCTGCGACATCTCGAGCAATTAAAAAAATTTATCTAATATAACGCATTATAGTTAATCAATATAAAATTAGATCTATCAATTTTTTTTAAAGCAACCAAAATGGCATTTACTAGATATAAGCTGAAATAAAGTCAGGTGGGATAGTATCTCAATACATAGCAGTAGTCTGATCTAAAGTTGTAGATGCTAAAGTATGAGCTAGTAAATTACCTGATCTAGGAACGAACTTGATAAAACAACAATCAAAATAAGTAATAAAAGATTTGCAACTATCTATGGCATAGCCAACGTACGAACGAACTGGTCCAGTGGTGGAAGACAAATAGTGATGAAGAGTTAGGTAATCTGTGTAGAGATGAATAAACCGCTCCCCACGATTTCTGAGCTATGACAAGGCTTCCTTGCACGCATAAGCCTCGGCCATTAATGGCGAGAAACAATCGACGCTGCAAAATATCCTCCATTCTTGTCTCGAAGTACCGCACCAACGGACGCTTTGTTTGTCGTGGGATGGTAGGCCGCATTGAAATGGCACGTCCATACCAAAGGTGGCACGACATGGCTGGTAGTGACAAGAAGTGTTACGGCAGTCTCGCTGTACTTGGTACCGGAACAGTCTGCTGCTGGTTGCTGCCGTGGTGAACATGTCGCCATGCATGGAGCGTAGTAGTGGCCATCGCTACTAGCTTTCTCGGAGTCGGCATGTAAGCATCCCAAACTGCACCATTTCTCGCACTCCAAATATAATAAAGAATTGCAAATGTGAACATAATTCCATCAGTGTTTAAAATATTCATAACTTCACCAAACCAAGAATGAAAATTATTTGTCACAATATTAGAGATTGGAATGTAGGATTCACATCATATGGAGCTAGCAAAATCACACAAAATCAATGAATGCATAGTATCCTCATGAGTAATACCACACATAGCACAAGTAGGATCAATTTCCACTCTCCTTATAATCAAGTTAGTAGTAAGCAGGATATCACTTAATGTTTTCCATAAAAATGTCTTCCATTTTGAAAATTAGATCTATCAATTAATTAAATGTGTTATTTCAAAAGAATCTTCACATTACACTTATAAAAGAGTATAGCTTAACCTAACTTAACCGCGTGTGAAAACTGGTATTTCTGGGAAACTTCCTAGTCAACCTCTAGTCAATTGTTAATGTCTCAAAGACTTTTAAATACACGTCCCAGGAAACATAAAATGCATCCTTTCAAAGTTTGAACAGAGCACTAACCTGATCCCATTCCCCTCCCCTCCCCTCTCCCCTCCACCTTCACTAAAATCTCAGTTCAATCTCCAATGGCCCTCCAAGACAACACGTCTAACATGAAGGCCATTGTCGCCGCCATCGCCTCTTTCACCGCCACCGCCATGCTCGTCCGCAGCGTTGCTAGGGACTTCGTTCCAAAGGAGTTCCGTCACTACTTCTTCGACGGCGTTCACAGCCTCTACCGCCGTTTCTCCACCCGATTCACCATTGTCATCGAGGAGTTTCAGGGCGTGTCGGTGAACCAGCTCTTTGATGCAGTCGAGGTCTATCTGGGAAAGCTCGAGCACCCTTCGACGAAAAGAGTCAGATTAGGCAAGACGGAGAACGACAAGGGCCTGGTGATGGGCATGGACGGGAATGAAGAAATAGTGGATTACTATGAGAACGTCGAGCTGAAATGGAGGTTCATATGCATAAAGTTTGATTCGGCAAAGCAAAACGACGATGCCAGAGACTTAAACGCGTCTCTGAGATCCGAACTGCGTGTGTACGAGCTCAGCTTTCACAAGAAGCATAAGGAGAAAGTGGTGGGATCGTACCTGCCACACATACTGAACGAATCGAAAGCCATAAAAGATGAAGCCAAGGAGACGAAGTTCCACTCGAATCTCAGAGGATGGACTTCTGGCGACTTCATTCTGCAGCATCCGATGACATTCGACACGCTGGCTATGGATGGCAAGGCGAAGAGTGAACTTATCGAGGACTTAGACAACTTTGTGAAGGGGAAGGAGTATTATAAGAGAATCGGTAAAGCATGGAAGCGTGGTTACCTGTTGTATGGCCCTCCTGGAACAGGAAAATCAAGCTTGATTGCTGCCATGTCTAATTATCTCAACTACGACATATATGATATGGATCTCACGGAAGTTCGTACCAACTCGAATTTGAGGTCGTTGCTGCTTGGCATGTCTAGCCGATCAATCCTCGTGATAGAGGATATTGACTGTAGCATCAAGCTGGAGAATAGGGAGACTGGGGAAGAAAAAGAAAATCGTCATAGCAGGGTAACTTCAATAATCATTCGTTTCTCCAGTTTATATTTGCTCGTTCCCAACCAGCTTGGTTGGCGTGAGTGGTCGTGCACTCTTGTCCCTTAAGAGAGGTCGGGAGTTCAAACCCACTCTCGTATGGAAAAATCAATCTGACCAGCACTTTGCCCCTTAATTGGGCAGGCCCAATACAAAAGGGGATTAGTCTGACTGTCTGAGTATGGTACGGTTTAAAGGTGCCTCTTACAGTTAGGGCCTGCTCAGGACACCTCGTGGTCTGACCAAAAAAATATATATATATTTGCTCGTTTCCCAATCTAACTTTCATACCTTGTAGGTCACATTGTCCGGGCTGCTTAACTTTCTTGATGGGATTTGGTCATGTTGTGGAGAGGAAAGGATAATTGTGCTCACAACCAACCACATTGACAAATTGGATCCCGCTTTGCTAAGACCTGGAAGAATGGATATGCATATCCATTTGTCATACTGCAAATTTTCCGCATTCAAGCAGTTGGCGGTGAACTATTTGGAGATACGCGATCACGAGCTGTTTCCAGAAATTGAAGAGCTGTTGGAGGAAGTAGAGGTCACTCCGGCTGAAGTTGCAGGGGAACTGATAAAGAGCAAGAACACTAGCCTTTCCCTTCAAGGCCTCGTTGAATTCCTTCACAACAAAAAAACAGAAAGGGTTAAAGCTGAAGTGAATAGAGATATCCCACTCCAGAACGGGCACGACGAGAAAGAAGTGGAAGGCACGACTCAAGACAAAGAAAAGTTGGCAAACGGCACAACCCAAGACAAAGAAAAGTTGGCAGTTTGACATGGGAGCCTTAGATCATAGCCTATTCCATGTTTAATCTCTTTAACTCCTATTAGAGAAGTAAAACTAAAGCCTATAAACGCTTCATCTTGAATCTTTCCATTGAAACCATGCTTTACTATCATGTTTCATTCCTACAATACTAAACAGCTTAGAGGCTAAAACTTTTGTTAATGGCTCTCTAGGCATGCAAATTTAGAAATATATCTTCGTTGGGTTCATTATTAGCAATCATCCCATTAGAAGTAGGTGAGTTAACGAATAGTTGGTGCCAGATCAAATCCAAAACAAATTACCATGTTGCTAAGCTGAGATCAGATTTTTCACCAGGGATCTCAATGGAACAGAACGCTTTATACTTTGATGCGAGCACCCAGTCCTTGAAGCTTCATTTCCAAATTCTCGTAACCCCGATATAGATGTGAGATACCACCAATTTCAGTAATACCTTCAGCAGCCAAAGCGGCCAAAACCAGTGACATACCCCCGCGTAAATCAGTTGCAGTAACATGAGAACCAACCAGATGATGACTAGCAAAATGATAAGAGTGCAATCAAACTTTTAGATACCGATTCAAACCAGATGTATTGCAAAGGAACTCAAGCATACTATTGAAATTTACTTGGAATTTTTCTTCCCGAAAACCAATGCTTTGCTTCCACAAACCTGAATTTTAACTCCAAATTTCTGGAGTTCTTTCACTGCAGAGAAAATTCGAGAAATTTTTAGAAAAAAGCTACTAGATACCAGTTCACTTTGACTAAAAAAAAGTGTAACAACTTATAGGCACATACCATGGCCCATGCGATTATCAAAGACAGATTCCTCAATGGAACTTGAGCCATTGCAAGTTGAGAGTAAAGCCATGGTTGGAGGTTGGAGGTCCGTAGGAAATCCGGGAAATGGACGCGTTTTGATATCAAAGCCTTGTAAATCATCGTTAGTTGTCCGAGGGACAGCTGAAATCTGATCTTATCTTCCAAATCAAATTATCATCCAAAGACATAAATAAGAGAGAAAGGGAGACAGAATAAGTGATTGTACATACCTCCAAGGTGTCACAAGTTTTCCATATAATTCTGCAACCAGCACCTGAAAGCTTGTCTATTAAGCATGACAAGTGGCTAGGAACAACGTGTGAAATTGAGATGCAGGATCGAGTAATTGCAGCAGCCAACATAAACGACCCTGCTTCAATGCGATCTGGCATTATACTAAACTCAGAACCATGAAACCGATCCCTTCCATTTATATAAACAGTATCTGTTCCCGCTCCTTCAATGCATGCTCCACATTTTGTCAAGAAGCGAGCAAGATCAATCACCTCCGGTTCCTGATATGCACACATTTGAACCTTTAGCTAGGAACCTTTACATTTCCATCAGATAAGGCATATAAAGAACACAGAATCTATAATCAAAGAAGTCAATTGACAATACTCTCTTCATACTTGAGCTGCATTTGAAAGTACAGTCTTCCCTTCAGCCATACTTGCAGCCATCATAAGGGTTTCAGTTGCTCCGACACTCGGATAATCAAGCCAAATCTTCCCACCAACCAGTCCTTTTCCATTAGCAGCATGGGCATGCACCTTTCCATCCCTACAATAAATTAAACAAAGTCACCCACACGGATAGCTCAGTTGTTTCCTGGGGGTAAATTGTGGGCAATACCAAGGATCGAGCTCTGTGTGAGTTTCCCCCAATGTGGTGAGCTCTTTGCGGGACCCACTAGCTGAGTCACCAAATTTACCACTCAACTATCATATCGGGCCATGATAGTGCCGGGGTGTGGGGGTTGTGGCAAAGGAATTTCACCTTTTGTAGGCAAGATTGTGGGTAAGAAACATTCTCACCTTCCAATTCAATCATCTCTAGTCAATTTCATTACATTTCTTACCATATAAGCATGTTACTAAAGCAAAATTCGGGCTAATCAATACAATAGATAAAAGAAAATAAATGTAAAGATTAAGGCTTTAAGGGTCTATTTGATTTGGAAAAATATTGTCTTTTTTCAATCTTGTTTTCTTCTGTTTAAAACAATAAAATAAAACAAAATGTTGTTGTTTTCACTTGCTGAACAGACCATAAAGAGTCCAAAAACTTAACTAACCTTAACTGGACAACAGCACCAAGAGCGCGAAGCCCCTTAATGTACAAGTCAACAGGACGAGCCCCAATATCACAACCGCCCGGCAATCCAACCACGGCCTCACCGAACCGAGCCAGCAAGGGCCCTAACACGAAGAAACCACCTCGGAGCTTCCCAATCTGGCTAGAATCTGGTTCCACTGACTTAATACAACCCGCATTGACCACCATTTCACCACCAAAAATGTCAACTTTAGCACCCAAGGACTCCAGAATGGAGGCCATGGTTCGGGTATCAGATAAATCGGGCACATTCTGGAGCTTCGAAGAGCCAGAGCAGCAAAGGGTCGCCGCGAGAATGGGTAAAGCCGAGTTCTTAGACCCACTGACGGCAACGTGGCCGGAGAGCTTAGATCCGCCGGTGACGATGAGTTTGGGTTCCGGGTATGGGGTTGGGGTTTTAAGCTGGGCTGGGGGAATGTGAGTTAAGGGCTTTCTTGGGTCTGAAGATTTGATCGAAAGACAGTTGCATGGATTAAACGGTAACGCCAATAACGCCATTGATGAGAGTCCAGAGAGTTGAGCGCTCCTAGAGTCCTACCCTCTTGTATTTGATTTTTGAAGCTGTCAGGGGCAGGGTGGCGCCGTGGTGGCCACAAAAGGGTGAATTCGCAGGACGGCTTTGTGAATGGGATACAAAAGTATAACGATTTTTTTTTTTTTTTTGATACAAACATAGGGAAAAGCTACATTGAGAAATGCATGTTTTTAACATGCATTCGAGGAATGCATTATTAGCTTTTAATAAAATGTATTTTTAGAGAGGGTACGATACATTATATGTAAATAATACGGTAAATGTATACACATTAATAAATATAAATTTATGTATTAATAAATTGGCAAAACCCTACTTATTTAAGGCTTTTTATTTCTTTTTGTTTTTTTCCCTATATTGTGTCAATAAATGCTTTATTTGTTTATTACATGTCAATCACTAGGGTATTTTATTAATAAAAAAAAAAAAAAAAGTGAATTCCATTTTTGGTCCTACTGTTATTGGGGTCTTTCCAGATTTAGTCCACTATAATTTTTTTTTGCCAAATTACACCCACAGTTATTAACATCGTTCCAGTTTTAGTCCACGTTAGACTTTTCGTCAATTGGCCGTGACTTGAAGGGGCATTTCCGTCATTTTCTTGTGTTTGTATTCTACTTTACCATTTCTTCCCAAATCAGACGATGGTATGTAATAGACCTCATTAAATAGTTTGTTTCCAAGTAATATGAACATGTTTTAAGATTGTTTTTCTATTTCTTTATATACTTTTCAAATCAATGGTCGACATTGAGAGGATTCTATTACAGACATTTCTGAATTGAAGGCCACCGACCAGAAACAAGAAGTTGAGGTCTGACTCTTTGTCAAATATAGTCTGCAGAATTTAAGAGAGATGGATTCTGCGCTTGTTGCTTTGTATATAGTCTTCAAGTTTGATCTGCTCTAAAGCGAATGTTTTCTTGTAGCCAGCGAAAAATTCAAGGCGGAGAGTCGCAATCTTAGAACCCCTTCCTCTCTCTTCTAAATGGGATTTGGCTTTTATGGCACAGGGGTGCTAGGCGCACTCTATGCACTGGCCAGGAAGGAAAAAGTCATTTCTGATGAAGCTCTAGAATCTGTAAGCTTTATATATATATATATATATTCATCATGAATTCTTGAATTCTTTTCTTTCTTCCCTCTGGAGTAAGCAATATCAGAGGTTGGATCAATTAAATCTCGAAAAGTGAAGTTTATAAGTTTCTTAGCATTGCTTTATATGTTAAGTGTGTACTCGTATATACTATTATTTGCATAATAGATGAGTGCTAAACTGGAGGAAAAAGAAACCACCATTGTTTCAATGGGGAAGAAATTCGAATCTGAGCTGCTGAAAGAAAAGGAAAAGCAGAATAAGCAGGAAAAGGAGGCCAATGAAGAGCGACAAGCGCTACTTAACAGACTGAATTCAACAAATATCACTATAAATGGTCTGGAAGTGCAGTTGAATTCTCTGATTGTTGAAAGAAGGCAGCTTCAGATGCTACGCTCTTGAACGAACAGCAACAGAAACTCCAACAGCTTCAGAAACAGCTTGAAATTGCCTCAGATGAATCAAGCAAAAGTAAAGTGATAATTACTAATTTAACTATCGAACAAGTTGATTTGAAAAAAATGCTGGACGCAGAAGTGGATACTGTAGAAGAGAAACAAAAAAAATGACGGAAATGCCCCTCCAAATCACGGCCAAATGAACGGAAAGTCTAACGTGGACTAAAACTGGAACGATGTTAATAACTGTGGGTGTAATTTGGCAAAAAAAATTATAGTGGACTAAATCTGGAAAGACCCCAATAAGAGTAGGACCAAAAATGGAATTCACTCAAAAAAAATCATCAATAAAATTTTGATATATATATATATATATATATATATACTAGTTTTTGACGCGCATTGCGCGATTGGGATAATGCCCAATGTTTTTTTTTTTTTTCAAATAAGTACTTTAAATTATATCAAAGGCAAGACTATATTGGAATTGTTCATGCATAGATAATTGAATGTTTTAAATTTGCGTATTTAAATAGTCAATTCTAAGTTTACAAATGCAAGATAATATAGTCAATATTGATTATAATTGTCAATAAAATAATTGTTTAGGTATGGTTGAAACCAAATATGGGACATAAGGGAGAGCAAATAAAAATTAGGGCATAAAATATTGAATATATACTAATATTGAAGAGCTAACTGCTGATTGCCAAACAAGGACATCGCGAGATAGTTTCCCACTTCAATTTGTTGTGTGATTTGAATACTCTTTTTGTCAATAAATCCCCAAGTAGTTAATATGATTGGCTTAATTATATTTTTTTTATTTTTTAAAACTATTATTATTATTATTATTATTATTATTATTATTATTATTATTATTATTATTATTATTATTATTATTATTATTATTATTATTATTATTATTATTATTATTATTATTATTATTATTATTATTATTATTATTATTATTATTATTATTATACCATTAGGTCATTTTACAGGTTAATCTAAACAGCTAATTTTTTCAAATATCGTTTTAACTGTTGATATAATTCGCTGGTCAAATTCGCTAATATAATCCGCTAATGCTAACCGCTAACTGCTGATTGTCAAACAAGGACATTGCGAGGTAGTTCTCACTTCAATTTGTGTGTGATTTGAATACTCTCTTTGTCAACAAATCTCTCAAAGTAGTTGATATGATTGGCTTTATTAATTATATTTTTTTAATTTTTTCATGGTATTAATAAAATACTTGGTAAATAAATATATAGTATTATTTTGTATTATAATTTTGATATTTAATTAAAAAATAGTGCACAAAAAAGATAATAGACAATGCAGTGAATATAATCAATTGATGAATTTGAATGTAAAGAATTTATACATTGGAGAAATATAAAGACAATATAACTAATAAAATTATTTCTCTTAATTAATTTATTGATAATGAATATTTTTTTTTTAATAAAGACATTGTAGGGACAATGTAGCGAATATAATCAATTAATGAATTTGAATGTAAAGAAATTTTATATTCGAGAAAAATGAATATAATATAACTAATGAAATTATTTCTCTTATTTAATTTATTGATAATGAATAATTTTGTTTGAATAAAGACATTGTAGACACATAATTCTAAATTAAAGAAATGCATGTGTACTATTTTTTGTTGTAGCTACTAAATTATTATTTAATTTAATAAGAGTAAAATAGAGTACTAATTATGCCAACTTTGATTGGGATGGGGTTCGAACATAAAATCTTTCTTATTGAAATTTCTTATTGAAACTAACAGAAATTAACAGAAAAGATAATATTTAATGGAAAAGTTAACAGATAATCATATTCATTAAGGATAAATTAGGAAATCTTAAGGAAAAAATTAAAATCTGATCAATCTAAGTCATTCATTTGATTAAAAAATTTGACCGTCATTTTTTCTACCCATTATAGGCCTAACTCTCTTGGGCTCTTATTAGTATAGAAGATATAGTGTGTGTGTATATATATATATATATATATATATATATATATATATATATATATATATATATATATATATATATAGTTCCTCTAATTTTTTTTTATGTATATATAAAAAAAGATTGTTGGACCACAACTAAATTATGATTTTATTAAACATTATTTTATTACTAATCGTCATCGACGAATACGGAATCTGTAATATAATAAGTGAATAAATTTTCGTTCATTTGTTCGACCTCACATAGTAAAAAATAAGCGTGTAAATCCTTCCAGGTTGGCAATTAAAGAATACCAAATAGTTTATCGTTTTAGCCTCGACACGATATTCAAACAAATCTTCGAGAGCATGATATGATTGTTTGTAGTTCCGTCCATTGGTATTGAAGTGCACACTCGAATTCCCATCTATAACTTCTACGTCATCATTATCTGAAGGCGTGACGAAGATTAAGCAAATAAGGCTTGATTCGTCCGAAAAAAATTCAACTACATCAATTAGTAATGCCCTGCATCCTGATAATTCATCTAATCCAACTCCTGAAGGAATACTCGACAGTGTTGGAACGAAAATGAAATCTAAATCGTAAACGATCGAAATGCAGTGTTAACTGCATATATGAATTATAACATAATAATATGTATTTTTTTTTATTATAAATTCATGTAACATGCCTCTTAGGAAGGTATGTTTTGTGTTTTTCCTAGTTCTACATAAACCACGACAGTTTTCATCAACATTCACTACCAACCAACATCTAGCCAACTTTGTAACTTGTATATACACTATACCTACCTCTTTAAGCATTTGAAATTCCAACATGGACGTATTTGTTCGTTTTACAAATATGTCAACTGTTAATTCTTATAATAGACAAATGAAACGTTATTTCGCCTATACCGTTAACGAAAAGAAAACATTGTATGCAGTTGTAATACATACAATATCAAACCAATACGCATGTTTCGTAGCGCCATCATGGGTTAAGTGTGATTAGGACTTTTTGTTATTGGTTATTTTGAGTCCGTTATGAATAACTATTTTGTTTATACCATCCATAAGAGGTGTCTACAATTCAGCGAGGGGATTAGTGACTGTGTATAACGGAAATTAAAAAATATCTGTTCAATTATTTGATGAAATGAATTTTCCTACTTTATCTTCTATTATATCATTTACTTTTCATAAATACTCATACACTCCATTACTCTATCAAATAATTGAATGGATATTTTTAGTTCCTGCTATATGCCTAACTTTATTAGCTCTTATATTAGCATATATAATATAATATATATATATATATATATATATATATATATATATATATATATATATATATATATATATATATAGTATTTTGATGAAATTATTTTGCATGTTTGGTAATAGGGTGAAATTGGAATGATTACCAATATTGATGTTTGGTTGTGTATAACCTTATAATGAAAATAAATGTTTGAAAATATAAAAACAAAAAATCAATGTAATTTATACAAACAATAGTTTATGTAAATTGGAAAATGAATCTAGTATTAATATTTGACTGAAAATATTAAAGAAAAAAAAAGAATATGTTATTAATAATTAACTAATTGATATGTATTGCAAAAAAAATGATTGACTGAGAATATAAATGACACGAAAATTAGGCCAATTGAAAAAAGAAATAAACATTAATAATTATCTGAAAATTAAAAAAGATCTCCATATTAACTATTTCGAAAAGAACGGATTAACTATAGTATAGTTAAATTGAAAAAAGTATTTGTTATTAATAATTGACTGAAAATATTAAAAATAAATCTGTTATCAATAATTAATTAATTAATATGTATTGAAAATAATACTTGACTGATGATAAAAATGGCACGGAAATTAGGCCAATTAGAAAATGAAATGAATATTAATACTTGATTAAAAATTAAAAATGATCACAAATGAATTCAAATGAAAAAAGAAATGGTCAAACCGCCCAATAGTATAGATAAACTGGAAAATGAATCTATTATTAATAATTGACCAAAAATATTAAAAAAAATCTATTAATAATAATTAATTAATTGATATGTAGTAACAAAATAATAATTGACTGATATAAAAAATGACACGAAAATTATGCCAATTGAGAAAGGAACTGGATATTAATAATTGGTTGAAAATTAAGAATGATCCCAGTTAACTATTTCGAACAAGAAACGGATTAACTATAATATATGTATTATATGGAATACATATGGATCTGAACTCATTGATTTCTAGAGGAAATAGTCATGCAATGGGCAAACTATTTTGAGAATATTTTGCACAGAGAAATTGTTACTACGTTATTGCATGACTATGTTAATTATATGGTAATTAAAAAATGAAATGAATATTAATAATTGACTGAAAATTAAAAATGATCCCGATTAACTATTTCGAAAAGGAAACAGATTAACAATAGTATATGTAAATTGGAAAAATAATCTATTATTAATAATTGACTGAAAATATTAAAAATCTGTTATTAATAATTAACTAATTAATATGTGTTAAAAAATAATTGACTATGGTTAAAAATGGCACATAAATTATGCCAATTGAAAAAAGAAATGAATATTACTAGACTCAAAATTCTAAATGATCCCTTATTAACTATTTAAAAAGAAAACGGATTAACTATAATATATGTATTATATGAGATACATATGACTCCGAGCTCATTGATTTATCAGAGAAAATAGTAATGCAATGGGCAATGGACAATTGTATGTGGCTTTTCCTAAATCACACATCTTGATGGCCTGAAGGTATTAGCTCTAGACGATGATGTACAAGATTCTGTTGCTACTACCAATGTCGTCTACAAAGAGGTTTTCAATAATGTGTAGTTCCAGCCAGTGATATTATGTTTTCTTTTTAAGCGAGGATGACAAAATTGGTATATATCTACGCATAAATTATATATTCCATACAAATAAATTGATTTATATAATTGAGTTGCTAGACAACAAGCAAATTTGCCACTTAATACAAATCATAAACACTGATATATAAAATTTCTAAATTTTCAGCACCGAATGCGTACATCTACACATTGATTATTAATTGGGCAATTATTTACTCGAATTCAAGCAATGATAACATTAGAAAATACAGTCGATACAACTCAATTCTTCAATTGCACTATATAATATTCGATGTTATAATTTATATAATTGTATATCGATCTAAATATTCTTAAAATATTATAATAAATCATTCCGTGCATTGTACGGGTGAAAATACTAGTTGATCCGAATATAATGACATTCAAAGCATCAATATGAACAAAAAAAAAAATCTAAAAGTATTTTTTTGAATGCTACTGACTCTATTACATTATAGTATCTGTTAAAATATACTTTCTCAACCTAATGAAGCACAAAGAGTCACCAACATTTCCACTGAGGCTCGATCTCAACTTAAAAATTATAGATTACTAATAAGATTGGATGATAGCACTTTTTAATTAGGGAGTAAGATTTTTGATGGGATGGATAATCAAATTTCATAATTATGTTTAAAAAATGAGTTAATTTCATTTTTTTATCTTAGATTTATAGGTGGTAGTCCACTTTTAGTCTTTTTTATCAGAACATTCATTTTTGGTCATATTATTATTGTGACATAATTAATTGTAGTCTTTTATCAAAAAAGTCGTTGAAATTTCGTTAAATACAATGACATTTCACTATTCAATTATGAAATTTTTCAAAAAATAAACATAAAAACTTTATCGGGTCAACGCATTTTGTATTAAAAAGATTAAAATGTCATTCAATTTTACAAAATTTTAACAATTTTATTATAAAAGACCAAAATTAATCATATCACAATAATACTAGAATAAAAAAAAATATTATAATAAAATTTTTAAAATAAACTGTCACATATAAATTTAAAATAAAAAATTAAATAACTCTTTAAAAAATTATCAATCAAATAATAACTGTGATTTTAATTTTCAATCTTTTTGTAAAGCCATGACACACTCAATCTTTAGTTAGACTTCTATACGCTCAGAAACGGGGAGAGATTTCCAATCGAGCCCTCCCGCATTCATATTTAATAGTGTAGAGAAAAATCTCAACTCTCTATCATCGCTCTCTCTCTCTCTCTATACAAAAGTCTCAGGCGTAAACTCTCCGACAGAGAGAACCTTCCAACTCATCTCAATGGCGAACAGCAATCTCCCCCGAAGAATCATCAAGGTAGGTCTCTACTCAAGCCTCCATCTTCATCTTTTTACTTAGATCTCTGTTTCGATTCGTTCACAAACTTTGGTTTTAACTCATTGTGTTTGATCACTAATTTTGCTAGGGATTTGATCGCCCGATCGCAATTTCTTCTAGTTTCTTTTGTGGATAGATGTTTATTGATTTTCTTTGTTCTGATCTTTCAGGAAACTCAACGTCTTCTCAGCGAACCAGGTAGCTTTCTCCCGCCATACACACACATGAATAGTTACAAAGGCTTGTAGTTCATGCGTCTTCTCAGTGTGCAAGTTTGTATCAACCATTTGGAACTGCACGCTATACGTATTTATTTCTAGTTTTGCTGCTCACTTAGCTTTCAATTTCTAGCAATAATGTTATCTTTAGGTCAAATGTGATGCATTCTGAATTATCCAATAGTACATTTTGGGCTTTGCATGTTAACTTATGAGCTGGATTGCTGTAAAACAGTATGGCTCTATGACTTGAGTTATTGATTTATGTTTTTGTTTTTAATTCTTATTTTTAGTTTTTTGAGATTGAGCTAATAAACTTCAACTTGTGGCTTTGCAGTTTTGTTTGTATTGTGTGTTCATAATTAAATAGAATTTAAGAAATTTAGTACTACTTTTGGTATTTGAGTGCAGCACCAGGAATAAGTGCATCTCCATCAGAGGACAATATGCGTTATTTTAATGTCATGATTCTTGGTCCAACACAGTCTCCTTATGAAGGTAATCAGCGATCTTTAGAGTAGATGAGATGTGAAGATTATCTGTTACCATTATGCACCATGTCTCTTGGTATCAGGTGCTTAAAATTGGCTCGATCTTTATTTTTGGTGTCTAAGTATATATTGTGTAGTTGTGTTCAATTCTTGTTTGGAAAGGCTAGACACATATAATGGAGTCTACTGCAGATTTCTTCTTTTTTCTCCCTGTAGTTTATTGAGAGATGAGATTTAGGCTAATCGTTTAGTTCATGGTTAATTCTGAAAGAGAGAAACAACTAAAATTGTGAATATAAAACAATAGTATTTAATTAGATTCTAACTTTTAACCGTAGCCAATATAAGTGGAAAATATTCATAACCAAAGTAGCCGTAGGTGAAACTTTAGCAATTAATGAACTTTTCTCCGACATTAGATCAGTTGGAGCTGAAGGTAGAAATGTTTTATCTAATGAAGGGATACATAGATGATATAAACAGTGTTCGGTTTTGACCATTGGCTTCTCTTTTTAAATATCTAGCAGGTACGTGATTCTTTTGTTATATGATATCCTCACTCTGACTATTCTTCTGTGTAATTCCATTGCTTTTTCTATCTAGGAGGTGTTTTCAAACTGGAATTGTTTTTGCCTGAAGAATATCCAATGGCTGCTCCAAAGGTATGCCAGTAAATTTAGATAAATAAGCCAGTTTCTTGTAGCATATGTTTTTTTTGTTTGTTTATTGTTGTTGTTTTTGTTTTTTTTTTTTTTTGTTTTTTTTTTTTAATAAAATAAATACTATGGAGCTAGTTACTTATTGGTGAAAATAGAAGCCTGCATTCAATTTGCATCAACTGTGAAGGTGAGTGTGTGAGATGAATAGACTTAGAAGAGAGAAGTGGATGTTAGGTATATGGTGATACAGTGGCAAATACAGGCACTTGTATGAGAGCAGTGCCTGTCTCAAGTACATACCTTGGTTTGGTGGAAAGCGTTGGTATAATCTACTCAATTTGATGATAAAAGGATGTTAAAAATAAGCAAGTAAATGCCCTTACTGGTCTTTTGGGAAATTGCAGACAGATTTTTTGTGAAGTCCTGACTACCTGATGATTGTTAAGTTTGTACTTTCACTTAAAATGTTTTTGTGGTAAGAATTAAAATTATAAATTTTAGGAATAAGGGTCAAATAGGCCATCGAACTGCACAGGATAATGCAATTAGGCCACTGAACCTAAAAAATTAACAATTAGGTCCCTAAACTAACCAATTTCAAACAATTCTTCCAATTTCAAGGTTTCCAACAGGTCATCCTCTCAAATTAATTATTTTTTTAAAAAAATAAATTTTAAAAATAATTGTTTTTAAATTTTTTTTTTTTTTTAAAAAAAAAACAGACTCCGACAGGAGACAATTGTCTCCGGCCAGTTTCTTCGTCTCCCGCCAGTCCTTTTTTTAAAAAAAAAAAATTAATAAATAATTTTAAAATTATATTTTTTAAAAAATAATTAATTTGGAAGGATGACCTGTTGACCTTTTGGAAACCTTCAAATTGGAAGAATTGTTTGAAATTGGTTAGTTTAGGGCCCCAATTGTTGGTTTTTTAGGTTCAGTGGCCTAATTGAATTATTGTATATAGTTGGATGGCCTATTTGACCTTTATTCCTAAATTTTATTATTGACTTCTTCATGCACTAATTGAACATACAAGAGAATTTTATTAATTTAATTTTATACTTGATTTCCTGGCATGCACATGGGAGAGAAATTGGCATGTAAGGGATTGCTTGTGTCTCTTTTAGTAGTTGGTGGACTTTCATTGTATATTGCTGTCAACAAAGTGTTCTTTTGCCTGATTAACTCGAAGGATTTCCTTCTCTTGATATGTTTTCTTTCTCAAAGCACTATATTTAGTATAGCCATCATCTGTGCCCAATCTTGGTGTTTGGTAGATGTCATTCATATTTTTCATTTTGACAGGTTCGGTTCCTCACCAAAATCTATCATCCGAACATTGATAAGGTTTTTCTAACTACACTAGTTTTAGTGCTTGTTTGATCCAGTCTATTAGAGCTTATCTACACCAAAAAGCAAAACCAAAGCCCCAATCACTATAATGGAAAAAAAAGTCTTTAAAAACCAAATAAAAGGCAAAAAGCTATATTTCAAGAAACTTCAAAGTAGAAAAGCTTCTTTTCATTAAGCTCTGGCTGGGCCAAACATGCACTTATTAGCTTTCCACTTAAGCTTGTTCATTGCATTTTATTGATTGAATCTGTTTATGCAGCTTGGGAGGATATGTCTTGATATACTTAAAGACAAATGGAGTCCTGCTCTTCAGATTCGTACAGTACTTTTGAGGTATTAAAATTTCAATTATATCAATGGTTTCATTGATTATTTTTGAACTCTAATTTAAATACTAAATTGTGAAGATTCATGCAATAAATAAGAATAAGATTAGTGATTCATAGCAGGCAGGTTAAAAGGAAATTTTGGATGTGGCCTCGCTAGTGGGTATTCTTTCATTATAAACTTAGAAACAATATTCCAGCAAGTTATTAAATTTGATAAGAGGGACTGTTGGGTGGAGACGTACAGATGATCTAAATGATGCATTTCACGACGGTTTACACTTCTCAAAATTATGTAATTTGTTCATTCCTTTTACAGTATTCAAGCACTTTTGAGTGCTCCAAATCCTGACGATCCACTCTCCGAGAACATTGCAAAACATTGGAAGACAAATGAGGCTGAAGCTGTTGAAACAGGTTTGTGTTGCAGTTTTGTTTGAGCAAGTTATCCTGCAAAAGTTCTTAGTGACTCTACATGTTATAACAACATCCATTGATTTTTTCTTCCTTTGTATTTTGCAGCAAAAGAATGGACACGTCTATACGCCAGTGGTGCCTAACAGTTGTGGAGAAAGGTGTTTTAAAAAATAACAAAATGTGCAATGTACTCTTTGACTGTCTAATTAGTATGATATCTTGGAAGAACTGAAGAATGGTTGAAACAAAATGGACATTGTTCTAATTGCTTCTAATTATTGCTTGATAATTGTTTTCTTGCCCCTGAAATTTGTATAATTTATGGCGGGGGTGCCTTGCGTCTCGGATGCCCATGAGTTGATTTCTCTTTAGTTGATGTTGGAGAGAAAGCTTTATACACAGTAGCAGCTGGGCATCTGTCTTGTGCTTCTAAAATTCATAAAGAGAACGAAGGATTTTTACCGATTAATGAACCTGTAGGGAGACTAGTGGATTGGGTTTGAATTAGGTGTTGAGTAATATTGTACGGAGTATTTCCTTTTACTTTTTAATCTTTGCCGATGCAACACCTTTTAATTAATTGAAAATGAAGTGGGATATATGCATTATGATATGGGAAATTCTATTTGCACCACCCAATTTGCTATTTGTAGCACTCAATTTGATTGAAAATCCAGTAGTCTATCTTATTCTTGGGGTCACGATCCCCATTATTAAAATTGAGGTCATTTCGCCATCTCCATATCCACTGAGGTTATGTAAGATTCATATTTGGTTGAAGTTATGTAATTTTTTATAGGAAATATCACTTAATTTGATTTCTGCATTAGATTTTTAGTTGTTTTGGAAGGAACGTGATATCTTTCAATTTCTTAGGTAATATGTACATAATTTATTAACTGCAAGTACATAATATGTTAATTGTAACGGTACATAATTTATTAACGGATTATACGTACATAACATTTTAATTCAATGCACATAATATGAATGTAGTTTTGTACCAGAGTCCACCATGCAAAGTAGACATGGTCCATGGTATTAGTATAACAATTGTAAAACATGACCCCCAACCAAACATATTAATATTATTACATATTTCAAATTTAACTGAATGCATAAATTTAAAATTTACTAAGATAATCTGGCATTATATATACCTTACACAATTATACGAAGTCATGTAATCTATTCTCTTTTGGACACGCATTAACATACACATTGTCAACTACATTTATTCCTTTGATTTACCATTAAACCAAACATTTGTATGAAGTTGAAGAAATGGTGGAATATTGATTGACAATAATTGATTAAGGTAGGAAGAGTATGGAGCAAGGTAAACTATATATTGATTATTGACCAAATGGCATTGATAGATGGGGGGCCAGGCGGCGCGGCCAGCTAAATACTCACCATATTTTCCTCTTCGCCTGCCACCCATCGTACCATCAAACACAACTGTTTACTCCAACCTTTGCTCTTATGATTTGTATTTCTTGAATTATATATATATATATATTTTTGGATTGCGTTGGACCTTTATTCACGACTGATTATATGAGTGTTGTGTAATTTTATTTTATGGATAATACTATATGATTTTTAGTTCTTTTTTTAAACAAACGAGAATTCTTTACCAGCATTATTGAACAATATATGCACAAATATATATGTTCATTTTTCCTCAATGTCCTACTATTCTCTTAGCGGGATACGAGCACGTGAAAGTGTGACTAACATGACATTCTGCACTCGCAATAATAAATTAAACATTTCAAAAACAAGCATACAATTGGAATTCAACCAAATTATACACAACTATTAAAGTGTCATTCTACACAATAAAACACTCATGGCATGTTTGGTTGGGTGTAATTTGGTTGTAGTTGAATTGCAATTCAATGGAAGTCACAATTACGCCTTTTGGTTGGAGGGAATTGCAATTCCACAGAATTACAATTCCCTCCTTTTGCTGAATTGCAATTCATGGGCACCCCCCCTATGAATTGCAATTCAGTGGTTGTGGAAAAAGGAAAAAGAGATGAAATGACAAAAGTACCCTTAATTATTACTACTATTATTATTGCACAAGGACATTTTAGTCTTTATATCACTTCTTTCATTCACTACCCAATAATTCTATTCATCCCTACCAAACAATGTAATTTGAATTCATACTTTATTCCCACCTTATTCTTTTCCCACCAAATTGCAATTCCTTTCCACCCTAATTCCTTACTCCCAATCAAACGCCCTGTAATTCACTTTGTCAAAACCTTGTTATGAACTCCAAAAATAAATAAATTATTTTTGTCATTTACTACTTACATATAGGAGTACAACATATAGTGTTATCGAAACTATTAAAGTAGGACTCTAATACCTATTTAAATTAGTATATAGTTATAAATAGCTGATCAAATAAGATATTATAATCTCATCTTAATTGTATGGAAGACAATGCTTTAATTAAGATGTGACAATGGATGCCACCCAATAAAGGAACAAGGAATTTGACGCAAAATTCCAATGAACTATTGAGATTGCGACATTGAGAATCATACATTATTGCGTTGTTGAAGTTAGGTATACTACTCAATCAAACCTGGGTAGGAGTGCCACCAAAGTCTCAAGTGTATATATATAGTATACTTGTCAATATTTCCCCCTCATAATGCTTAGAAAGGACTAGATTCAAAACTCAATAGCGGCAGTGTAGGAATTATGTCAAAAGTAGATAGATCTCTTGTGTGTACCGATATTTTACTTTATATATTGAGTCTCTGCGTTATCATAATTTATATTATCTCACATGTTCTGTCGGATCGGAGTGTGAAACTCTTGAAATTAGAGATTCAATTTGTAGGGAAAAAGATTAAAGTACGTGATATGACTCTTCATCAGTACGTACTCTTATTTGCATATTTATTAGTACAATGTGTCAATGGTGTAATGCTAAAATGTGAGCTACAATCATCTATCACTATGTGCCACCATTTTCAAACTCGTTATATCATCAACAAGTATGAAGTCCATTGATGTTAGTCATGTGATTAGCCAGTTGTGAGTCTTCGATATAGATAGGTATGAGTCCGAAGTGATTATACCCACTATCTGATTCATTTCTATAATTTTACAACAAACTCACACTTTATAATGAATGGATGTTTTAAAATTGGTATATATTGATATTCTACTAAATGCATATATAGCCCAAAAATATAGAAACAGGGTTTAGGAGTGAGCCCGGCCATAACCTGGGTCCAAGAAGAGTTCACGACCCGGGAACCAAGAGAAAGGATGCTCTACCTCCGAGCAAGGTGCAAAGGACTGGGGCACAACGCAAGAGACCAAAGGCAAGAACCGGGCAGAGGGTGAAGGCCGCTAGTCATTTTTGCCCCATAGACAATCTCTAGATTCGGAATGGTGGACTTTGACTTAGTCTCTTGATCCACCATGCTTGTGGAGTTGTTTGAGTTAGTTAGAGTCCTTTCTTTATATAAAATAACATTGTGAATACATAAATACAAATTAATTTTTATCTTAATGAGTATAAATTACTCAAAATCCAAAATAAACACAATACAAATATTATAATGTTAACCCATAACTAATTATTATCATCTAAAAAAACCCATCCATGCACGATCAAATTGGGATAATGTTAACTCCTAGCTAGTTATAGGTCACACTGTTCCTCGATGTTGAATTAGCCTTTTTATGAGTCCTATTTGTACTAGGATAGATCAAAAGGGCTGTCCTACTGCCCTAGGGGCTAGGGACTCACTCTTCATCCCCTATGCTTTTATCCCTGCCTATCCACAACAATACAAGATAAACATAAAACAAATAATGTTGAAATAGCTAGCTCAACTTCATACGCATACGTAATTGAATCATTAAATTTTCAAAAATGTATAATTAATTCTCTGAACAATTTAAAATTATGCAAATAAATTAAAATTGACATGTTTCACACTTTCACCCGTCAATACTGATGATTTATGAAAAATTAATTAATTGTTTAAATAATTTTAAGCCCCTCTTTCATTTCTGATCGGGGCAAAGAGAAACTCTTCTTCGTCTTCAAACTAGTCTTTGTCCCAGGCCTAAGACGAAAGAAGAGCAAGAAGAGCTTAGATTTGTTTCACACTTTCACCAGCCAATACTGATGAGAATCCAACTCGAGTGCCATCAGTGCAGAAGATGCTTGGCGGTGACCTGTTTAATTATTATTTTAAAAATAAAAAATAAGTAATTGAATGATGTATTTCATTTTAACTAAAAAGTTAATTTTTTTCATAAAATCATACATTTATTATTTCAGATGAACACAACATATCCATTTGGTAGATTTTTACTTCTTCATTGGCAAATGACAACAAAAGCCTGCAGAATCTGACAGTTATGGCGGAGAGCATTTATCTATGTATCTATCTTTAAGTCTTTAACCGGTAGGGAGGGATTCATTTGTCTGATATATATACTGCATCCCAACGGCTATATAAGCTTGGTGGTGCAGTGCATTATTGTACATTATCATCATCGCCACCTTTATCGTCCTCCGATCTTCATCTTTACTTTTACGTACAACGTACGGTACACTCTCAAGGCTACGTTGTACACTACCTTAACAGCGATGTGTCATTGCTATGCTCGTCGTCTTCTTCACTTTGTTTCCCTAATTATCCTCCACCTCTCCAACGGCCATCATTTAAGGATTTGACGCTAAATTATACTCTCGGGCAATGGATTCGAGTTTACTGTCTTGTTGCTTATTTAGTTTGTATAAGAAAACTAGTAAGACTTGATATTTAGGAGTGATCCCGGGCGGGGCATTTTTGCTCGAGTTATCTCGTCAGTTTAACACATCTAGATTAGATTGCGAGGAATCAAAACTAGAACCGAGAGGTTTGGTTCAAACCTATATTTTTTATTTTTTTTATTTTTTTATTATTTTTTTCTATTTTTGCTTTTCTAAATTCCAATTTGTATTGGACACCGACTAGTGAGCATTTTGGGACAAATTTTTGTTGGGGTCCAACTGCCCTTTATGGAGTGTGGTTGGAAGTTTGCAACATAAATGCTTACATGTGACTCCCAATCAATCAAGATCAAGGGCATCATACAAAAGCCCTTTAGAAGAGGGCATTTGACTCATTCTCACCCAAATCTATAATTCATAAAATTAGGGTTCAAAAGAGCTTTTGAATAGATCAAACACAACAGCAACAAGAAGAAGAATTTGATATGCATGTATAATCACTACTACAGGTTTAAACCCTAAACCCGAAAACCCCTCTGGCCCTCACCCCCTATCCTGGAGATTGTGAGAGAAGATAAATTACGAGACATACCATAGTGACACAAGATCTTTTTTTGGGTGTACCCAAGGTTTCTATCGTCGGACACAGTGACTAATCCCCTCGCTGAATTGTAAACACCTCTTTTGAGTGGGACAACTGGCCTGGAGATTTAAAACTATTCCATACCCAAAACTAAGGATCGAACATTTGACCTTTGGTTAAAAGATGGATTAATCCCTTTTACTCAACCACACCCCAGGTTATAGTGACACAAGGTTTGAGTACTTACTTTTGGCCCCAAAACTGAGATCCTCTCCCATTGAAAATTCAAACTCGGGTATTTGTTGGGTCACTACACCCGCACTCAACCTTTCAATCACTGAACTATTTCTCCAGGGCTTATGATCACAACTATGATTACTAAGCATGTGCATAGTACTGCATACACAGCATTTTAAGTTAAGAAGTGTGTAGAGTGGATTTGGGGAGGGAAATGGACAGAAGCAGAAAGGGACAGCTACACCCTACACACTCAATCAGAAAAAGCAATAAATTCAATCAACTACCCCATATTAAGAAACCACCCAACTCTCAATGTACTTTAGCTACCTTCTTCCACTGGGTAGCTGGGAATGTCCTCTTTTAGGTAATGACTTGATTGCTCTGCTTCTTCACAGATCACACAAATAACACACAGATTTGGCCTAAAAAGTAAACCAAATGCCACACAAAAATGGAGATTCTCAAGAGTCAAGTGGCATGCATATGAGCCATGAAAAGTAATAGAATAAGAGAAATTTTTATTGATGGTTATGCAAAGAAAACATCATAATATCAATAACAACATCATATTCAACCTTCTTTCACTAACCCCGATGAAGTCTCCGCCACACATCCAATCCAATCTCCCTCAATGGCCCGTCGTGTTTTTTACGGGGGTATGTATTATATCATGTGTATCTACATGTTTAGATCCTCATCCAAAGCCGACAAGCCGGCCATCTGTCTCTCTAAACATTTCCACCTAAAGGGCCATTGTAATGAATTGTACATATTGATTTCAATGTCTCTCGTTTACGAGAGAAGATGGGGGTAGGTACTAAGAAGAGGCCAGCCTATATGAAAATTTTCGGGGAAATAAAAAAGAAGAAAAGAATTACAAAGAAAAGGGGACGGGGAAGACTTGTGGAACCATGAATGAATAAAATGTAAAAAGGGGAAAATGTACTAAACTATTCCTCCGAATTCCACTGGCCTTTAGGCCAAAATGGCTCCTAATGGGATTATTTGCGGTAGGTCTGATTATGTCACAGGTAATAATAGTATTATGCAGGGAGGAGCTGATCCCAGTAATTTTGGGGGCACGAGGGAATGCGAGGAGAAGAGGTGAAGAAGCAAGTACCGAGTACTAAGTACTGTAATGCCTCACCGAAGACTCCAACACCTCGGGACTCGGGCACACCATTTCCTTCACTCTGCTGCTCTTTTTGTAAATTTTGAATGTCGGTACAATTCTAACATTCTCGGCATTAGCAATTGCAGGGCTCTCTTCTACATCCACCTTCAATTAAACATAGGGACATTAGTGTCATCTTTTCACACGTTATGCATGTGCAACGAGTAGAAAAAATCTACTCAATATATGCCATAGTCAACAACCATATTAAAGCATCCCCGCAATAAATAGACAGAAAATATTGGGCATGATACCTTACCATGAGAAAATTTATTGATGGATATCTAGTGCACAACGTGTCCAAGAATGGGGCGATCTGTTTGCACTGAACATTGGATGCCGTTTTAAAATGTACAACAGATGCACCTGAAATTCTTAGTGTAAATTTGGGATCACCACGGAATAATGAATGCAAGAATCATTATGGTAAATAAAAGCCTACCTGGAGATGAAATTGCAGCTCTGAACTGGTCAAGACCTGAAACTATTTCGACCTCTCCACCAAATTTCATATTATAAATGTCTTCTCCCCGAGATTTCTTCAGTGCGACTTGGGCATGAAACAGAGATTCAGCAACCTCATTGTCATAAGGAAGTTCCCTCTTCAAAATTTCATAATCTCTTGCAGCTTCAGCCCATCGTTCAAGCTATAGCCAAGCCACATTTAGAAGCTTCTTAATTGCATAAAAAGTTGCAATTGAATAATAGAAGATAGAAAAGAACAAAATAATTCTACCAAGTAACCAGTTTGGTTAGCGTGAGTGGCCGTGCACTCTTGTTCCTTAAGAGAGGTCGAGAGTTCGAACCCCCTCTCGTATGGAAAAATCAATCTGGCCATCACTTTGCCCCTTAATTGGGCCAGCCTGGTGCGACCGGGGATTAGTCTGAGTAACGGGCTTAAAGGTGCTTCCTACAGTTAGGACCTTCTCATGACACCTCGTGGTCTCACCAATAAAAACAAAAATTCTACCAAGTTGTACTATACAAGTGGGCATTACCTTCATGTATGAGGCAGCTCTTCGGAGAAGGGCTTTGGTATAACTGGGGTGGATTCGGAGAGCTTGGTTGCAATCACCCACAGAATTTTCCCACTGCCCGAGCTTATACCAGCAAGCTGCTCTATTGCAGTAGAGAACTGAATTTGCGGGATCATATCTGAGGCCTTCCCCATAAGCTGCACAAGCTTCAGTAAACCTTTCTGATTTAAACAGATCATTGCCACGGTTACGAGCTCGGCTAACCAACCGCACATTGTTGAATAAATCTGAAACTTCAATATTTTTAGAGTCAAGCTGCCATGCTCTCTCAATGGCTGCAATAGCATTTTCAAACCTGCAAATATTCATAATCCATACTCATGCTCCCGATGAACTCTTAGAGCCATTTGTTGAGAAGCTTAAAGTTCCGAACTCACCTTCCAAGAGCCAACTCAATTTGAGCTTGAACAAAGAACAAATATGCTTCAGTGCGCATCCCAAAAATCTTTAGCTGGGAGTATGCAGCCAATGCTTCCATTTTAGGAATGTTTGATAGGACCGAATGAGCATCGTCCAATTGATGGAGCTTCAAAAGAGATTCAGCTTGGCATGCAAATAGCTGCAAATTCAATTTCACTTAAATCAGTCATCGGAGTAATAACCTCTCAAAGCATTACCCTTTTTGCTGTTGAGCATATAGCCATTAATGTGCAATCCAACCATCAGCTTAGGCTTTTAGTTGAGATGGAGCACATACTTCAATTTTTGCAACTGCAAAGCAACATTCTTACCTGTGGAGATGCATCGGCTCCAGCAGCAATGGCAGCATCTGCTTCCCTCAAAGTAATCCTCCAATCACTAACTTTCCGGGCATCATTGCATTTCCCTATATGCTTCTCCACTGCCTCCAACTTTTGCAACTCAATAAGATCTGGTTGGTGCCCTGGAAGACAAATGTGCCTCCTGGCATTTTCAACCTGTCCTACACTGTGACCCTTGAAAGAATTAGGTTGCTTACAGCTAAAATGCAAAATGTAGGTTCGAATACGAATAGGTTAAAATTACATAGATATTACCATTTACCAGTACTAAATCAAAAGAACCCAATGATCTATAAAGTACTGTGTAAATAATCTCAAAATGTAATGCTCTATAAACCCTGCATAGTCCATATGACTACAACAAAGCCTACACATAAGTTGTTGCAGAAACTGATAGAAAAAATGAAAGAACATAGAGATCTGAATCCAGAAAAGTAAAAAGAAAATGTACTGCAACCCAGATTAAAAACAAGGACAGCACTATCATTGATTCATTGATGAAGAACACTAGGAATATCTAGCAGTAAAAATGGCCACAAATTCAAACAAGCAAAACCATTAAATGAAAAGATCACCCAAATAAACAAGATCTTGCAAAGAGTGAAAAACAACAGACCAACATATGCAGATCAAATGTTCAAATAACACCACATTTTAAACAATCAACATTTGTATCCACAAAGTAAACGAGTAAAATCTAAAACCAATCCATCAATCCCAATAAAACATGTAATAAAGATTTGAACTTTGAAGCAAATATCGGAACATCATTTGACTTACCTGAGAAACAAAGATCCCAAGCGATGGTGGGCTCTAACATATTTCGGATCCAACCTAATAGCTTCCTCGCATTCTCTCACTGCTTCTGTGAACCGCTTTAGACCAATCAATGCCGCTGCACGGTTGCAATGGAAAGCTGCATTTCCAGGCGAAATCGCAATTGCCTTCTCGTAAAGATTCAAAGCCTCATGAAAATTACCCTTCTTGTAATGCTCATTGCCTAGCCTTTTCATCTCCTCCGGATCATTACTCCGCATTCCTCTCTTCATTGTCTCGCCGCCAATCATTAATCCTCTAGAATTCATGGCAATGGCGACACTACTGTCCGTACCGCCTACAGCGCCTGCGGTTTTGGGCGCTCCCCCGGCCCGCATTATGCTCCCGTGGCCGTAATTCCCCGTGCCGGACCCCAAAACATCTGTCTTGGTGGCCTTGCTGGCCATGCCGGTCTTCAGAATCTTCCCAGAGGGGCAGATATTCCCAGTGGGAAGCGTATTCAACGGCGGGGAGTTGACGGAGCACCCGCCGGAGTATATTAGAGAGGGGGCACCAGCCGAGTGAGAGCGCGCGTGACGCGGCTTAAACCTGCGCGTCCCCGGTGAACTCTCCGCCGAGCCCGAAAGCTCACCGGAGTTGTTACAATCGGACTTCTTCGACACCAAGCTCGGCCCGGCCCGGCCCGACACCGATCCGGACGAGCTAGAGCTACTACTAGTAGTAGTTGTTGTTGTAGTGGTAGTAGCAGTAGTCGCCGCAGAGCCCCCATTCCGGCGAGCCGGCAGCGGCGAAACGGGCGAGCCCAGATCGAGCTCCCGGAAATCGGGCTTGTTAACTTCCGACCCAAATGAGCTCCTCAACCTATCGCTCAAACCGTCAATCCCAATCTCCGACACCGACCCTCTCCGAGAATGCGGCATTTCAAACCCACCCTTCCCTCCGGCAAACAAATATAAATATATATACACAAACTATAAGTGTTTCCTCCTCGCTTAGCACTGAGAGTCAGCAGCAATGTCTGGAGAAAGCAGGTGAAAGAATGGAGAAGGGAGGCATTGAAGAAGACATGAGAAAAGGAGAAAGAAAAACAGAGATAGATAGGGATCTCGTGATATAAAAAAGGCAGAAGCAAAGAATGAATGCGATATTGCGAGCGAGAATCGGCGGAAGAGAGACACAGAGAGAAGGAGAGAGAGATTTTGATTTTTTTTTTCTTTTCTTTTCTTTTTCTTCTTCACCTGCTGCTTCACGAGACACCTCTCTCTATCTATCTATTTACTTGTTCTTAAAAAAAGTTCCGATTTTTAAATTCCTTCTTATTTTGCATAGGTTTTTTTTTATCCTATTTTGAACTCTGATATTTCTAATTGTGAGTTATTATATCCATGGTCCACCTCTTGCAAGGATGACCTTGGTCATAAACTACGTATAAATTGAAATTATGAATTTTTTGAATATAATTTGTGAATACAATACAGGGTCATTAAGTTTTAATTCGTTAATATTACGTGATTACAGTATTTAAAAGAATTTGTGAATACAAAACAAGGTAATCAATTACATATATGTTAACATTGTATGTATAAATTATGAACATTTAGTATGTAAATTGTAAATATTTGGACCCGAGTTTACAAAATAAGTTGCGTCTAATTGTTGAATCAAACTCTTTAACCTGACCACTGTTGTAAAAATTGGCATAGGTGGCGCCTAGGCACCCCTAGGCTGTTCCGCTTTCACTATTAGGCGCCCAAAAATCGGTCATGCGCCTAGGCGGCGAAATCGGTCAAAATCTGCCTAGTCGGCCAACTCGACCGAGTCGATCAATTTTGTCTAATTTTGTCTGGTCCAGCCGTCCATAGACTAGTTTGATATCAAATTCCTTTTGCCATTGATATTGTAGATATTGTAGTTGTGGTTAATGCAAACCTTTTCTAATTGGGTGTTTGATTGGATAAAAACAAAATAAAAAAATCCTTAAATTTGAGGAAAATTGAATGTTTCTTGTGTTTAGTTCATTAAAAACTTGTTTATCATAAAATATTTTTCTAAGATCATGTTTGATATTTTGTTTTCCATGAAAAATTAGTAAGACAGTTTTGTCATCATAATATTTTCTTAATTACCCGTATTATTATTAGTATTATTTTCTATGCGCGATGTGTAAAAATTGACGCCCAATATTAGTACTCTATATTAAAAATTTTGATTTTAGATATTTATATTATTGTATAATAATAATAATAATAATAATAATAATAATAATAATAATAATAATAATAATAATAATAATAATATACACTATTTTTATAAATTTGATATTTCTATTTTAGAAATAACTTAAACAGTATTCCTATATCCTATATATAATGTCTATATATTACTCTGTATTACCATTGAATAAGATAAGAAAGTTTATACTGGATGCATGTGCATAACAACAATAGTTGAAAAATATAACGGAAGTTATAACAGTATGATATTTTTGACCAAAATATTGTATAGTACGACTCTTATAACATAATGTGTATATGTGTGTGTGTGTGTGTCTAATGGAAATAACATACATAGATGAATTGACGGGTATAATTTTCATTCACAATTATTAATTTTTAGATTGTTGTTTTTGTTTTTATTATTGTATATATATTGTTCTTGTTACTTATTATTTCGTATAATTTCAAACCTATCCAAACAATATAATCAAGATTTAAAATAATTTCTTTCTCACCAATCAAACAATCTAATTAATCTTTGGATAAATTTTTTTTTCATGAAATTTCAATTTCATTTCTCTTTATATTTTCCTCTAATTGACCAATTAGCCATAAGTATTTGGAGGGGAAGATTAAAAAGGAAAAACTTATAATAGGGGCTACCAAGTATAATTTGTTATCGAAAATGATTTTTCAAGTGAACAAAGAAGGAATATCAACTAATGGCAAGCCCCTAGAATGGAGAAGCGAGATCTTTAGCCATAAAATCAGTCAATTTTTTTTTTGTTCGCTAACTAATAATGTTTGCTTTAACTAAATATGTGGATCCGTGACTACATATATATACACATAAATTATTGTAACTACTTCTTAATATAATTTTGAGATTCCTTTTGGTGTTGTGTAATTTTAGTGTCTCTTCCTAAAAAGGATAAGGTTTGTAGTATTTTTTTAATCATATTAAGTGGTTAAAAAGAAAAAAGACAGAAAAAAAAATAAGAGGGAGAGAGTAGTATATATACTAAAATTATTATTATTTTTTATTTAAGGGGAATGGAGGAAACGACTAGAGCATTTGAGAGTATGTAAATCTTGGCAAAACATAACAATTGATAAACCATAGTAACTCAATTAAATTACAAGGCTAAACGATTACTTATTGGGCACAAATAGCCCCTAGAGGAATATCGTGAGCAGGATTATAAGTGATCTAGACATCTAAAGTTACGAAATTGTAATTAAGACATATTGAAAAAATGAAAGTCAAAAAAGTTTTAAAAATAGTGAAATCACACACAGTTAACGGAGCAGTCCAACTAACAAATAATGTTGTACATGCTATATAAATTAATGTAGGTTTGGTTCAGGTAATCTTAATATAATGTTATATTGTCTTATTTAGTTTAGTCATGAGATTACCTGATAATGTTATATTACTTTAAAATTGATATGGCAATAATGTAATTACTCCTATTTTTTTAAATAATCTATAGATTACATTAAAATAATCTAGTTTTATCCTTATTAACTAATCCTTATATATATATATATATATATATATATATATATATATATATAATAATAATAAACCCGAATGGGCAGCTCAACTGATCATAGAGGTGAAAAGTTAGAATAATAATAAAAATAATAATAATACTGAAATAAATATATGTTTACATAATTAAATATACATGTGTGTATATTCATATATTTAGTTTTTTAAAAAAAAAATAAAATATTTAAGCATTGATATGCATTCATACATATAAATAAATAAATACACACATATACATTATATATATATATAAGGGTTCAGGTACGGGTATAGCTTCCCGTGTGATTGTGCGGTTGACGCACCTTAAGCACACAAACAAAGCACTTTAAGGACACAAATCACGCACATTAAGTACACAAATTAAACTAGACACCTTAAGCACACAAACAAAATACCTTAAGGGGCGTTTGGTTCAGGTTATATAACATAACAAAGGGAATGTGACATTCCAAAGCTCACATTCCTATGTTTGGTTCATATTATCTTAGGGAATCTTACATTCCCAAAGAATGTCACATTCCCTCCACATAGGATTTTGAAGGGAATGTGAATCCCTTCGATTTCTTAGGTTATGTAAGATAACATTGGTTATGTTAGGAATATTATAGTGTGTATAAAAGATAATCATAAACCAAACATGATTATATCACATACCTCAATTTTAACCAAACACAGGAATCTAAGATTCCCAGCAATCTAACATTACCTAAGGTAATCTTACATTCCGTGAACCAAACGACCCCTAAGAACACAAACCACTCACCTAAAATTTAAAATACGACCGAGCCTTCCTGTGCGGTCAGTGGCCGCACCAATAGTTATGCGAATATGCAGCAACAATGTTAGGAAATGCACAACAATGAAATGTACAAATACACAAAAAATGCATCATAACTCCCCCACCCCCCACCCCCCAGTTGTGCATTTTCACACATGGTGTGGTGCTTTTATTCGTACCAAATGGTGCATTTTTAGTGATGCGTACCTAATTTGTGCATTTTTTTGTGCATTTCCTAACATTGTCGGTGCATATTTGCATAACTATTGGTGCGGCTGCACTTACCGCACGGGAATGTGCGGCCGCACCTGAATTATACTCTATAGATTTTGGTTCATATGAGGACAGAGTTTCCTGTGCAGTCGGTGTGGATTGCACCATTAGGTATGCATAAATACACCACGCAGTGTTAAAAAATGCACCAGAATGAAATGCCACAAAATGCACCACACACCAAAAAAATGCACAACACATAATGGTGTATTTTCAGACACTTTATGGTGCATTTATGTCAACCTAATATATAAACCTAAAATATAACCCTTAACCAACATGGTAATGTTATATTTCACAATTTCAAACCAAACACATATAAGATAATTTTACATCATCATAAAATCTCACATTACTTTATTAAAAATAATCCTATTACGTAGAGTAATTCAAGATTTCTTGAACCAAATGCCCCTTAAAAGCAATGGATCGCTATCATTCAATACCAGTATTAGCCCCTTCCTTATAACTTTGATATTTTTAAAAACAAAATTCTAAAACATGTCATTTTGCTATCTGGCCAAGGAGAATGTGCGTGAAGACTGAAGAGAAGCTTATGGCTTGTTTGGTAAAAAATTGGCTTATAGGTCAATTTTGACTTATTTGATCATTATTAATTGTTTTATTTAGTTAAAATATCAATATAAATGTTTGGTTAATTAGCTTTTTGTAATTTTAAAAGGTTAAAATTTAAAAAGCCACTCCAAGCAACTTTTTCAATTAGCTTTTTGAGAAAAGAAATCATGCCAAACAGCTATCAGCTAACAGCTAATTTACCAAACATTTTTCTACAATCAGCAAATGTTATTAACTATTTATATCCTATAATTAACACAATCAGCTAACAGCTAACAACTATCAGCTAACAGTTATTTTACCAAACAGGGCCTATATGTTTTATTGTTGGACATATCCTTCACATTATCAAAGTTCATATCTTAATTTCTTTTCTCAAATATTACCTATTGAACCTGTGCCAGAGTAATAGCTTATGTTATCGTTGTGAACATCTGTTGTGAATTGTCATCCGCTCTTCCCCCGTCATTTACCTTTCACTCATTATTTTCTGCTTTGCATTCCAATGTCACGCGGTTTTAAAAAGATTAATTCTCATGCGTATCATCAGAACTTATGCCAAACTAGTTCAAACATAATTATTTACGCGGCATTACACCACTCGCATGTTTCTCTAATTAATCCTTCACTCACAATTATATTATCTTTCGTATTACATTAAAACTTAAAACATGTAATCAAATTTGTCTACTTAAATCAATTTAGCAGTATTTATAAAGAATTATAATTAGTTATAAGCTTTAAAAATTTATGAGTTAACAAACCATATTATGAGTTAATAAATAATTCATGTAATAATCAAATATAAAAATAATATAATAAAACATGATACGGTAATGGTGAATATTAAATAGTCATTTTT